CAGGGCCGCCCCCCCCCCCCGCCCCAACACAGGAGGCGGGGCCACGGGAATCCCCGCCTCCTCCCCCTGCAATATTGACCAGACCTCCCCTCCTATCGACAGCAAGCCCCGCCCCAACCCAGCAAATGGGCGGGGCTACTAGAGGCCCCGCCCCTCCGCGGCCCCGCCCCTCCTACCTCTCAATGACCGAGGCCAGCAGCTGAGGGAGCTCCCGCATCTCGAAGGCCGAGTAGGAGGCGGAGAGCAGCGGCCGCACCGCCACCTCCCAGCCCAGCTCCCGCTCCGTCGCCGCGGTGGGGGACGTCCCGGCACTGCCGGTCCCTCCGCCGGTGCTGCTGCTGCCGCCGCCGCCGCCACCTCCCGAGGCCGCCATCTTGCCGCCGCCTCAGTCAGGCTCCGACAAGCGTCTGAGGTGCTGAGGGGAGGAAACGTCTGTCCGACCAGTGCTGCTTCCGGCGCGGGGCGGAAGTGACGTAGAGACGGTGCTCGGCCACCCTACTTGCACTGTCATGGTCTCTCGGCTAGTGACACTACACGTCAGGTCCCCCAAGGCCAACCGTGGGGCGGCCCCTAGCAAGGAAAGGGAGAGTCACAGTGGTCTAGAGGCGTAGGATAGAACGGCTGTGCCCTCCCCCCAATTTGTTTACAGTTTTGTTTTTTTTCGTCAACTCACAGCCAACTTACGAGGGTTTTCAAGAGCTGGTTTTGGAATTGCCGGCCTCTGCCCCGCATATGGCGACGGCCGCACGGAACGCGGAAGTGATGAGTATAACCGTATAGGTTTAACTCTATGGCTCGTGTTGTAGTTTTACGTTCTCAAGCAGGCAAGAGCCCAAACACGGGCCGAAGAGCGCGTGCGCAGAAGAGTGAGTCAGCTACTTTCTCTCCGCCCGGTAGCTTTGCGCATGCGTCCTGGATTCCGCCCTGTTCTTGGGGAACGGGCGCGCGCGCAGTAGCGACCCTACAAGCATCCGCAAGCCGCTCAGGCACCCCTGCTAGGTAGGCCGGGCAGGTGCTTGCATCTGAGGACGAACATTCTTCTGTACTGTATTTAGGAAACTAAAAGCGGAGAAAGAAAGAGGCCTGCTTCCCTGCTTGACCCAGACTCCGGGATGCAGAGGTAGACTGCCCCTACACCTGGAGGCTCTTTCCAGCCATCAAGGCTGGCAGGTGTCGAGAGGGCGCCTGTGCCTTAAAAAATAAAACGTCTACAACGCATCCCTGCAGCAGGAGGACACCCTCGGTGCCAGTGGTCTGAACAATGAATTTATTTTTATTTTTAAAGCTGCACCCAGCCGAACCCCTCCCCAGCTGGAGGCCAGCAAATGCCGGTATCCCCCCCCCCGTTCACTCCACCCAGGGCCTTTAAATAAGTCGTGGGGCACTGACATCACAAAATAAAAAATAAAATAAACATAAAAAATTTAAAACTCACTTTTGCAGCATTCGCAGTCTGCTTGCCTGTGCAGGGAAGCAAGCTGCACTTGGGGAAGGGGCGGTGGTGGGGTCATGGAAGTCAGAGGGGCAGGCCCCGTGCCCCCCCCCCCCCCCCACACAACCCCTATTTAGAGTCCCAGTTTGCCAATGCTGGCAGGGCAAAGAAACGCGCAGCTCCAGGGTCATCTTCACTGATGCCCAAATTCCGTGGGAGTTGATGGTGCCGCTTTCCCTCTGCGCTTCCGCCCCAACAGATGTGAGGGCTAAATACTGTGTGCAGTTCTGGTCACCACACCTTAAAAAGGATATTATAGCTTTGGAAAAAGTGCAGAAAAGGGCAACTCGAATGATAAAAGGGTTGGAACACTTTCCCTATGAGGAAAGGTTAAAGCGCTTAGGGCTCTTTAGCTTGGAGAAAAGACGACTGAGGGGTGACATGATCGAGGTTTATAAGATTATGCATGGGAAAGAGCAGGTAAAGAAAGAGGTACTTTTCTCCCTTTCTCACAATACAAGAACTCGTGGGCACTCCATGAAACTGCAGAGCGGTCGGGTTAGAACGGATAAAAGGAAGTACTTCTTCACCCAAAGAGTGATTAACACATGGAATTCACTGCCACAGGAAGTGGTGGGTGCTACAAGCATGGACGGCTTCAAAAGGGAATTAGATAAGCATATGGAGCAGAGGTCCATCAGTGGCTATTAGCCACAAGGTATAGCTAGGGGCTCTGGGGCAAGTGATGCTCTGTCTTCTTGGTGCTTGGGGGGGGGGTCAACAGTGGGAGGGCTTCTAATGACCTGGCCCCACTGCTGGACCTCCTGATGGCACTGGTATTTCTGGCCACTGTGTGACACAGAGTGTTGGACTGGATGGGCCTTTGGCCTGATCCAACATTGGCGTCTCTTATGTTCTTATGAGGGTTTCCTCCCATCTCTGTCTCCTCTCTGACACACACTCCCTTCTGCACCACCACCAGCAATCCTTGCAGAGAACCGGGTTCGATTCCCCACTCCTCCTCCACTTGCAGCTGCTGGTGTGACCTTGGGTCAGTCACAAGTTCTCTCAGAGCTGTTCTCTCAAGGGCAGTTCTCAGGAGAGCTCTCAGCCCCACCTATATCCCAGGGTGTCTGTTGTGGGGAGGGGAAGGTAAAGGAGATTGTAAGTCGCTCTGAGGCTCCTTTGGGTTGTGAAGGGCGGGGTATAAATCCAATCTCTTCTTCTAAGTAGGCCCCTTCCCATCTAAAGCACACATGATGAGCCTGGGGAAATAGCTGATTACCTGGGTCATGGGGAGGAAGGAACATTTGAATGACCCACCCCATCCCACTTTCAAACTAGATCAAGATGACCCCCCCTCCCAATCTTTCCCCTCATGTGGCGGCCCCCCAGAGGAAAAAAGAGAGCCTTTCCCAGGGCAGCCTGACCCGGCCCTGAGGTGTGTACAGGAAACCCTGGCAGTGTCCACCTAAGCAGAAGCTGGCTTTGGACTTCCTGCATTTCCCATCCCAAATTCTGCTGCCATCCCTTATTGCGTGCAGTTCAAAAGAGATCTTTTACAAGTGGAACTTTTTGCACTGAGACTGGAGCACCTGCCCCTCCCCGCAAGACATAGCTGCACAGCCAAGGAAGCCTCCCTGTGCTACACACCCACGCAAGGCGGCTCAGCTGTGTCTCCTACGCTCGGTTTTTTTTTGGGGGGGGGGGACTACCAAAGAGAAGCAGAGTTCAAGGACTGCTGGGCCCTGCACTGAACGCCCCTGAAAATCTACACATCCACAGCAGGATTCCAGACCTCCGTCCCATCTGCACTAGTCAGATCAAACTTTGATCTCCCCACGGCAAAAACCAGGTGGGCTCCTCAGCCATAGTCCTGTCGAAGCGACAAGCTCCACTTCTGCCGGCTCCATCTGGGGGTGAACTACAGCATCAGGCTGTTTTGTGAACTCAAAAATAACAAAATACTGAAAGTGTGCATACATAAATTCTTAAATATTCTCCAATCTTATAAGCATACAAAAATATGTATAGGTAGTTCAGCCCGTTGCATTATACTTTGAAGAGTGTGGAGAAGGAATATTTCCCTTCTGTGAAAATCATTGAATCCTTATGGAATGTCTATGAATTGATGAAGACGGCTTATCGTTTATTGATGTAAGAAGAAGTTCTCACGAAACGAAACGGAAAGTACTCCGGAGAATTTCGTCCATCACTTGTAACAACATGAAACCATTGTATCATTGTTATGCTTGAGATATAGATTGTATTTTTGTATGCTTATAAGATTGAAGAATATTTAAGAATATATGTATGCACACTTGCAGTATTTTGTTACTTTTGATTTTTCATACTGCAACCCCTGAGCTGTTATCCATAGATGTTTTGTGAACTCAACGGTATTGTAAATGCTTGCAAAAACATCATACACCCGGGGGGCTTGTGGGGGGGCATAGGAATCTCCTCTAGGAGACCAACCAGGGAAGTTCTACAAAAAGATGGGGTGCAGTACAGACGTCGGCCACTGATTTTTTAATTTTGTTTCACACGGGCCAGGCTGTGGGCCACTAACATTGCAGCTCACCTGGCACAAGGTTATACAGGGTTGCCACTTTCTGGAAAGTCAGGGAAATGAAAATTGGTCAGGGAAATTGTGATTAAAATATATTCAAGCAGTGGATTTTTGACCTGACCTGCTGCTGCAAAAGCATGATCTGTTCTTGTGGCAACTGGAATAGAGAAGTAGCAGAATACAAGTAGAACTCAATGATGCCCTTTCCCAACCATTTTAGATAGAACGTTCATATAATTTTTAGTGTACCTTTAAAACAATAACAAAAATGTTATGTCATTTGTTAGCATTCAGAGTTTACTTGAATTGAAATTTGTATCTTGGTGTAATTTTTGGTGCAATTGCAAAAGAGATGTTGCTGCAGTTAATGAAAGAAGCAGATATTAAATCTCTTTGACAAATATTTTTGCAGTTGAGACTTGTGTAGTTGTAGAGTGGAACCTTAACTTGCATTAATGCAATACTATTCATTTTTTAACTTGTGGTTATATTTGAATGGTGGTCAGGGAAATTGACAAATGTTGGTCAGGGAAAGTCAGTGAAATGACAAATAAAATTTTAGTGGCAACCCTGTTATACTGTCACCAGCCTATCACTGCAGTGATCTCCAGGCTTGAAATGAACAGACGGACGGAGCCAAGCAGCTGCCTGCATTTGTGTAGCAAACCGGCCTCTTGGCCTAGAAGAGTGACGGCGTGTTACTCTTGTCAGGGAGCAGTGACCATCTCCTGCCTTCCACTCCCAAAAGACCCCCCCCCTGGAGTGGACGGAGCTCTTCCAATCAACCCCAATAATAAGCCCAAACCCCTTTACTTCTGTTCACCCAGCTGGATTTCAGTGGAGAAATTCAGTCACCAAGGAAGGGAGAAAGCACATCAGGTTAACTCAAGATTCTTCAGATTAAGATGACACCAAAGAACCAAATACCTCGCCAGAAAAAGGGGTGTATGTGTGTGTGAGAAAAATTAAGAGAAACACACGAGCAGTTTTCAGGTCAACGGTCCAAAGCATTTGTTATTCCAAACGAGTTTCAAGTAGACCCACGAGCCAACATGGGGGGGGGGCTAGTTTCGAGTGGTAACATTCAATACATCTAGTTCAGCATAATTTAATGGTAAGCGAAAAGATCACCAAGAAAGTCTGAGGAACCAGGTTCACTCCTACAGTTAAAAGGGGGAAAGAGTTCAGTGCAGTCAAAGGACAGGGGGGGGGGGTTTCAGGTTGCTTCGTGCCCCTTTCCCAAAGTCATCACACGGCCCTGTACTGCCTTCACATCCATTTTCACTAGTGTTCATTTCCCAGATTTCCGCTAAACAACCCCCCACCCACCCCCTGTTCCATGTATTTACAAAGTATTCCTAAACCACAGGCGGGCCTTCTCCTCCCCCAACCAAAATTTTAGCAGACAGACGGGCTGAGAACTCTTTTCCTTCTTTCAAGGTGGTTCAAGGAGACGAATCAGTAACATACTAAAAGATTCTTAAAACAGGGTCCCCGTGGCCAATTGCAGCCCAAAGGGGAAAGCAGTTTCACATTTTCTTGTGGGCTTATAGAAAATTCTCTTTCCTGTCATTCCTCCCCCAAGAGGGGGAGTCTTCTGTCCTGCCCTCCCCCCCACCTCATTTTGCCACCTTCAGTAACGTTGTGCTTTTCTGACAAGACACCCAGCCAAAAAACAAGAGAGACAACAGCCCCGGGGGGGGCGGTCTTGCTTCCCATCGCACCCTCTGCAAAGCAACCGACGACCCAGCCCGACTCCCCGCAGCCGGGCTCCGCTGTTCCAGCCGGGCAGGTCCCTCCCTCCCTCCCTCCCTCCCTCCGGTTATCGCCAGGCGCGATTCAGCAGCTTCACTTGCGCCAGCCTCTTCGTGATCATGGTGGCAAAGACCAGGCCGAACAGCACGCTGCTGATCAGGACATAGTCGTAGTCGTCCTTCAAGACGTCGAACTGCTTGGACGGGTAGACGCGGGTCTGGTAGAGGTCCAATCCGTACGCCACCACCTGAGGAGACAAGAGGACAAAGCTGAGTCCCGTCTCCAGCACAGACCTGCACGACTGTATGTTGTAGGCGAGGAGATTAGAGGCGTGGGGAGAGAGGGTCGGACGAGCCTTTCACTGGCCTCCCCTTGGCCAAAGGAGGCTGACCCACACTGGTGGAATGAGCTCCCGGAGGACGTCAGGGCCCCGCGGGACCTCTTACAGTTCCGCAGGGCCTGCAGAATGGAGCTCTTCCCCCAGGCCTTCGACTAGGAGCCGCCACTAACATCAATTACATCAACAAGACTAACGGAACTGGAGAATACGAACTAACTATGCCGGATGCCGATGGGGGCCAGTTTTTTGGGGAACATCTATCATGGCCACCGGGTTGTTATTGTCACCAGCACTTTATTTTATTCTATTTCATTGCGAGCGATGGCTTGTTATGTTTGTGTTTTAATGTTTTTTTAACCCTTATTGTAAGCCGCCCTGAGCCTGCCTGCGGCGGGGAGGGCGGGATAAAAATGGAAGAAATAAATAAAAACCCAAAGGAAGCTCCAGCTGATAAGGTCCAGGCCCTGCCTTCTGCCTTCGAGGGGGGAGTCTCCTCGGCCAGGCCGCCTTCTCCAACAGAGCTCTGCCCAAAACACCTTTCTGAAGCTGGAGTGGTGGAGCAGACAGTGTGTGGCCCGCAACGCCAAGGCTTAAGTCTTGTCCTGCTGATGTGATCTCATCAGGGACCCTTGGGCAAGACGTGTTCTTATGTGAACAGAGTGTTTTGGTACTCTGGTGCCCAGTGGGGCAAGAAGCACCTTGTTCCTTGCTTTATTTCCACTGGACTACAAATACACACCTGGCCCCACCCACGTCCTCAAAATATGGAGTGGGTGCCAGGGAAGGCAACACTGAGATGCACCCCGGTGGGGAGCCCTGCTCAAGAGACCATCGGATCCCAACCAACCGTTTGCTGAGGCCAGAGTGCACCCAGGTTTCTTAAACAGCCCCGCTCGCTGCGGCTGGCAAAGAGCGATGGATGAATTTTGTCATTTGGGTTTATACAGAAGAAGGAGAGAAGAAATTGGATTTAGACGCCGCCCTTCACGCAGAGTCTCAGAGTGGCTTACAGTCTCCTTTCCCCTCCCCACAACAGACACCTTGTGGGATAGGTGGGGCTGGGGGAGGTCTTTCCAGAACTGCCCTTGAGAGAACAGCTGTGCCAGAACTACGGCTTGCCCAAGGTCATCCAGCAGCTGCAAGTGGAGGAGTGGGGAATCAAACCCAGCTCTCCCAGAGTAGAGTCCGCGCACTTAACCACTACAACAAACTGGCTCTTATCAAGGTTGATTCCTGCCTTCTCCTTTGGGTCCGTTCCAGTATCCTGGCTTCCAGCCAACTGCCTCTGGGCAGTCCAGAAGCACTAATGAGAACCACTGTCCTCCCTCTGTTGTTTGCCCCTGGTATTAAAAGGTAGACTGCGCTTGCTTCTGGAGGCTCCATTTAGCTACCATGGTTAATAGCCATTAACAGGCCCATGTTAGAAGGAAAAATAAGAACTAGACAGGCTTGTGGAGGGGGGCTCTTTCCAAGGCGAGGCCACTGCTGCATTTGGCTCTTGAGAGAAAAGCTCTGAGAGAATCTGTGACTGACCCAAGGTCACACGAGCAGTCACATGTCGAGGAGTGGGGAATCAACACCGGTTCTCCCAGATGAGATGAGAGAACCATCCGCGTTCCTAACCACGACACCAAACCAGCTCTCAGATGATACATTTTTTTTTAATTCTTCATGAAGGGAAGCTCCCGAAGGTATTAAAAGAGATTCTTCAAAGTCTCTCTGCTGTAAGGTATATTGTGAGCATTTAAAAAGAAAAAAACCCTTCACTAATGGCAAGAGACCCTGAAATTCTTAGCAGTTCAATTAACAGATAAGGACCTGGGTTTGAAAGAGGCATTTAAAGAGAAACAGCTGCATTTAACCCTACCCTCCCCACAAAGACCTACATTTTCCCAGAGGCTGCGTTGCTAATTATGCTGAGTGAGCTTTTCTATATATTTTTTTAGCCCCTGAGGCTCAGAACAATCAGTGCCTTTGGACAAGGAGGGCCTCTGCCTCACGCTGAAGCAGTGGCTGGCCTCTCTGATCACAGCTGCAGAACTTCAGTCCTGCAATGCAGCAGGTTCCCCACACCCACCGACCCCGGCCCAAACTGGTAGTATTTCATCATCAAGAGGAAGCTCAACGAAGTGCACTATCAGTCCTGTATTTCCAACAGTGGCTGCTCTCAGTCTAGGCCTTCGAAAAGCGTTTACACCTTGATTTGGGTCCCTCTTTTACGTCCTCGAGGTTAAAGCCGTTTGCCAAAGTCAGAGTTGTCCTCTTGGCGTGTGCCCCCCCCCCTTTCAAGCACAAGGAGAGGGAGAAGGCTGGCAGGAAACCAGCACTCCCTACACTTTCAGCTGGAAGACCCTGATTGGGGTGTAACCTGAGAGCGGAGGCCCTGCTCCATACAGATCGCTTTGGGGAGCAGATCTTCATGCTGTTCTTGGGAAATGGGCTTCCAAGCGCTGTTAGTGTTTCTCTCTTGGAAGCGATAAGAGTGGAGGTTTTGCCTACACACACGCACACACACACACACACACACAAAGCAGAGCCTGCCTCCTAGTGTGGATTCCTGTTATTGGTCCATTCGTTCCGAAAAGTTTCTGCCTAAGGGATCCACAGTTAAATGGACAAAGCTAGACCCTGAAGTGCATAAGCCCGGGACTGTGGATGTACCAGAGCTGTTGCAGAAGAAGTTTCTTTGTTAACAAACCCTGCAACGACCTGAACATGCAGAGGAGACTCCTGTGGAGGAAGAAGCCAATGTTGGCTCCAGACTATCAGAACCCGGAGGAGACGATAAAGATTATGGGTGACCAAGCAAGGTGGCCTTCAGATGTTTCCTTTACTAAGCAACAGAGAAAGCCCAGCAGAGTGTGGAAAGGGATTTTATGGGCAATGCTGTCTGTTTTTGTCTTCTTTTTGCTCCTGGGTATTATCTGTTATATCGTCTTAATACTCCAGTGGAATGCAGTCCTACAGGTGCTGCAACCCCCTATTTTGTGGAATACCACTCGGCCGTCTGAAGATCCCTCTCTTGTAAACATGCAGAACCTTGAAGCGAGACAGCGACGGGCCAGGAGGCATTCTAACCATTCCGAGTTTGAAAACATCACAACAGGCGTTGTGCCAATGGGACTATATTTTGAGCCTTACACAAAGCCGGTGATATTCCAGAAGCAGACCCTCGGCTTACCGGTGGTGCTGCATTTTGACAGCTCTCAGATGGCTAAGCAGTATAACTTGGTGAGCAAAGAGGCGCACCAGAGACTTGTGACTCTCTTAAATGAAGAAATGCAGAGTCTATGGATGGAGAATCCATATTTTGAAATCCCTTTCGGGGGACCAGAGGAACAGTCCAGTTACCAGGAAATGATGTGCTACGAAAACTTCGGTCACTGCTATTTGGTTGACTTTGGGACTGACAGAATCTGGCCTACAAGCGAGATAATAGCAGACCACTGTGAGCGCCCGCTTCCTGAGAAAACCATCAAGGAAGATAGCCTCCCTCACTGGTATCTGAATATCACCAGTCCAGATTATGGCTACAATATGTACGGGAGATACGAGGGAGCCAAACTGGAGGAGTATCGCATTCCGGGGGGGAGGAGGCCAGCTAAAGCAGCTGTCTTCTGTACCACTGCCTTGTACCGGTGGGCTGAGGACCAGCAAGCGGGAGACAAAGACAGACTGCTTCAGGCCCTGGCAAAGTGCCTTCAAAACGAAACCACGGGGCAACTGAAAGACACCTGCTTGCCTCCGGACTGGCACGATCGCGGACAAGGACTCTTTTTCAGAGAGATGGCAGATGAGGATTTTTGCAAAAGGCCTCGGTTCCCCGCTTTTCTGAACAGAACCTATTTCGAGCAGTCCTGCACTGCCATGTGGTGTGAGGAGCAGAAGAAACTGATCTGCACGCTTCCTACAAGCGAGGACTGGGATTGTCTCTTCTGTAGCTGGAATATAAGCGAGGTGGGCTGGAGCCACAAAATCGATCTCCCTTACTGGGACAGGACGAGGCACCGCACCTCCTGGTGCGTGAAGGCACACCAAGTGACTGGAGTGAATTACACGGTCTATTCCCTGAGGCAGCTTTGTGTGAGCCAGGCCAGACACGGCTCTATTGACGAGGTGGTCTCTTTGTTACGGCAGCTTCTAACTGTACGACAAGAGGCAGCAGATTTCCCTTGCGACCAAAAGGAGAGTCAGTGCACGCTGCAAAGCATACCTGACATGGTCCAGGCAGAGGCCGTCTGGGTTCTGAACAACACCTTTGTGGATTTTTGGGAAAGGCTGTCGAAAGGCCAGGGGCAAGGCTCACAAAGTGTCCACCAGAGGGTTAAGAAGGGCGTCTCTGCTGGCGTGGCATCAAGAGCTCTAATCTCGAAAGCAATTAAAGTGCTATCCCGTCTTTCCGACGTGAACGACCAAACGTTAAAAGGGGGCATTTTGCTGATTAAGAAATACTTGATTTCTGCTTTCAGCATAATCAAGCACGACTTCTCCACTTTCTCGGACGCTTTGACCATACAGAGTCTGCACGTCCGGGTGATGAAGTGCGTGCTGCAGCTCTCGCAAGAGAAAGCCCCCTGGTTCCTCATCAACCAGACGGAGATCCAGCACGCTCTGCAGCTGAGCGAAGAGCAGATGCAGATTGTGCGGCACACGGCCAAAGCGTATGTGTACAAAGTCAAGAAGCAGCGGGACAAAACCTCCACCAAGGTCTGGAATCCAGAAATAGCCTCCAGGTGGAATATATATTTTTATTTGGAGCTGCACGTTCCAGGAGAATTTTACATGACTAACTGGAAGCTGAAAAACATTGGCTGGCTCGTGGCCACCGGGAAGCACCTGGGTCTGTCCCACCTCGTTCCCCCTTTCCAATTTGTCTCCTTCCTGCGTGGACAGCAGAAGTTTCTGTCAGTCCATGACTGCACGGATTATGGGTATTTGTTTTGTGAAGAAATAACTGAGACGGCTCCTTGCAACAAGAAGGACTTAGGAGGAAACTGCCCAATTACCCTGCAGCCAGTTAATTCCTCATATCTTAAAGTGGAGCCCTTGAAGAATGGCTCCTATCTGATATTAAGCGGTGTTTCTGACTGCGGGATCGCTGCCTACAAGCCCGTCGTCGTCACGCTCGACACCCACCGGGTGTGCTTTGGGCAAGAGCTCTCACCCCCTCTGGAGCCCACGTCTCTTTTTCAGCCTGTGACCATTAAGATACCGGTTCTGAACCTGCACTTCCCTCTTTTGGCTGGAATTATTGCCAGCCTGAAGGAGCTGAAGATAGAGCTGTTTAATACTTATGACCCAGTGGAGAAGATCCTGGAGCGTGCCGAGCGAGAGCTCTTTAATGCCAACATCCACGAGCGGCGGTGGCCGGAATGGCTGGGCTTCCTCAATGAAGCCCTCTCGCAGCTGGGGCCCGGGGTCTCCACGGCCATGCAGCTCCTCACGCAGCTGATGGTGACCTTGAGCGAAGGAGCCCTGGGGACCGTATTTGACTTCATCTATTACTTTAAGTTCATCCTCGTGGTTTTTCTCTCCATGTTTTTCACCTCCTTAATGGCTCAGTTTTACAGGAAGTGAAGAGGTAAAGCTTTTATGAACTTGAAATATGGTGTGTGGGGGGGTGAAGATCATTTGTTTGCGTCTACAGACGTGCTGTGCTGTGCTGTGACGGCCGCTGTGTGATTGTTGCTAGGGTGGTTTTTATGCAGGATGAACACTGACCAAGTTTTCCTATAACATCCTGATTCATCATTCAACCTCCTCTTCTGTATGTGTAACGTATTCTGGCATATGCACTATGGTTTTATCTGCTGTATTGGCACATGCAATATTGTCCTTTAAAAAAAAATCTACCTTACTTTAAAAAGTGTAGACTTTGTCTTTCCTTAGAGGTTATTTCTGGAAATTAAGCAGGCGCGGACCTCTCCCAAGGCTTCTGGACCTCTGCCAGGCCGGCAGCCTTTGATTTTGCTTTGGGCTTTGATTGTTCTTTCAGCCTTGTGAGCGAGAGGAAGAACAGGGACATCTGCACCACTGGCACCCCCTGCTGGTTGACTGGCAAGGGTGCTCTGCTGTTAACCCAGGAGGAGTTTCTTCTGGCCAGGATGAACATTCAGTTGCACAGAAAGAGATGGGCTGGGGGGGCAGGGACTTGTCTGCTCAGCCTTATTTCTTATGTGCACGTGCTCACATTTTTTGTAAATAATTATTTTAAACAACTTGAACTCTGGCTTTTCCTGTTGGAAATGTTCTCCCTCAGCAAGCAGGGTTTATAGCCAAGATTCCCAGTCCTGTTTTCAAACGGACTCTGCCTTCCAGCAGCCCATCCCTCCTCTGAAAGGCCACCTAGCAGGGTTGTTGGAAGAAGCAGATATGGTAACAGCTGCACATCATTAGGCTCCTGTTAAAGTCCCCTAAAAGCAGAGAGTGGTCCAGAATAGCAACGTGTCTCCACTGTTCTGTTTATTTTTTATTTCTGTTTTGTACATTTTTATACCACATCCTCTCCTGCGTGGTCTCAGGGCGGTTCTGTTTGAGTAAGGACTGGAGTTAAGCTGAACCAGGGATTCAGGACTAGCAGGGTCAACTGGATTTTTAATTCGAATTCTGACCAGTGTTCCCTCTAAGATGAGTCAGTGTGAGCTAGCTCACAGTTTTTCAGCCTCCGGCTCACACATTTTTGTCTTAGCTCAGGAAGGAGGGCTCCAGAGCAGACTGATTTATGCAGCAGCCAAATAGCTCACTCACAACTTGAATGTCACAGTAGAATTTCTGCTCACAAGACTCCGCAGCTTAGAAGGAGCATTGATTCTGACTACAGTCTATATTTTTTGTCAGTACTTTCTCCTTGTTCACCCTTCCCTTCTGGCTAGAGTTAAAAACAGGGTCTGAAAGTCACAAGGAAAGCCCCCAGCCTGTCTAAGAGCTCTGCAGGCTGAAGCTCCCCACCCCCCACCCCCGGGCACCTTCAGGTAATGGCAGACTTGGGACAGGAGGTGGGGAGGAGAACTCTCAGCTGCCTGGGTCTTCAGGGTGCCAACGGAAGGAAGAAACACGGGGCCAGATGGATGGGGGGGGGTAGAAAGTAACGTCACAGGGAGGTGATCCGAGGAGTTGGAGAACAGGGCCGGCGGCATCCAGCGCCCCTCCTCTGGGGTTTTGCCCTCCTTCCAGTTACTTACCAGGCATGTCGACTCCAGGCCCGAGGGGGCTGTATAGATCCCCCTCATTCGGGATATGGTTTGGTTGTAGTTGATGAATCTCTCAGCGTGGATCTGAACGTCTGGGGAGTAGGGGATCAGGTTTTCTTCCCTGAAAGAAAGGCATGCAAGGGGTTGGTTCGTGCCAGTGTTCCCTCTAAGCTGAGTGAGTGTGAGCTAGCTCACAGTTTTTTAGCCTCCAGCTCACACATTTGTCTCAGCTCAGGAAGGAGGGCTCCAGAGCAAACTGATTTATGCAGCAGCCAAATGGCTCGCTCACAACTTTAAGGCCAGGAGCTCACAAAGTAGGATTTTTGCTCACAAGACTCCACAGTTTAGAGGGAGCATTGGTTGGAACTTCTCTAAGTAGACACCCCCACACAAACACACAACACGACAAACACAGCCCACCCCTTGGGAAGGCAGCCAGGCCTGCCACGGGTAGGCCAAATTGCCTGACCAGGCTGAGGAGCCGTGGGCAGTGTTCCCTCTAAGCTGAGTTGGTGTGAACTAGCTCACAGTTTCTTAGCCTCCAGCTCACACATTTTCGTCTCCGCTCAGGAAGGAGGGCTCCAGAGCAAACTAATTGATGCAGGAGCCAAATCGCTCGCTCCCAACTTTAAGGCCAGGAACTCACAAAGGAGGATTTTTGCTCACGAGACTCCACAGCTCAGAGGGAGCAGTGCAAGGGCTCAGTCAGGATTTAGCCACCAGAGACGGCACCCGTGGAACCTTAGGGTGTCCTGCTTCCTCGGTGCCTTCTGGCTGAGCCAGGTGCTGTAGGCCTCCCCTGGGCCCCATGGCTTCTGACCCCAGGTGAAGAGGAGGCCCACAGTTGGCTGTGTGTCTCTCAGAGCACAAGAGCCCAGGAGACCCAGACCTCAACAGTGCAGAGAGCTCTGACCCAGCAGTCTACTCTGACGTGTGGCATCTTCACCAGTGCGGTTTCTGTTCCCAAGGGGTGGGAGGAGGGGTTCACCTGGTTTGCTCTGTGGGGATCTCTGGCCGCCGTGGATCCAAGAGAGCCTTGGGGAGGGAAAGAATTGCTCCAGAAGGAAGCCCAACTGCAAAAGTAAACAGAGACATATCCTAGGAAAAAAGGGTGTTTCATCACACCTCCGCCGGCGCAAGAGACCCCTTACATGGAGTGCTGCCCAGGGAAGGTCTGCACATAATCCCATACAGTTTGTTCTACTTTCAGGATCACATTTGGGTCGCTGGCAATTTTTAGGGCAGAAAAGGGATCTCCGGGAAACGGAGGGGGGAGGGAGGCCGTGGGGATTCCGAAGCTCTTCTTCACAAGCAGGAGGGCTGGGTGACCGAAGAGGGAACCGAACACCAACCAACGGTAGAGCAGGCGCCTATAATAATGCAGGAGGATATCCCCTCCCCAAGAGAATTGTGGCCCTAGCTAGGTATTAACTACGCAGTAGTTCATTGTAAACCGCTCTGAGACCCATTAGGGGTCATGGGCTTACAAACTCCTTTCCCTTCCCCTCCCCACAACAGACACCCTGTGAGGTGGGTGGGGCTGAGAGAGCTCTGACACAAACTGCTCTTTTTCAAGGACAGCTGTGCCAGAGCTTGTGACTGACCCAAGGTCACATCAGCAGGTGCAAGTGGAGGCGTGGGGAATCAAACCCGGTTCTCCCAGATTAGAGTCCGCACACTTAACCACTACACCAAACTGGCTCTCGAGGTGTCTTCCGGTCCAAAAAGTGCAACATTTCAGAAACCCAGTTAAAATCTCTGGGTTTCTTTCCTACTGCTGCATTAAACTACATTAAAACACCATTCACAATTTTAAAATGTGCTTTTAAAAATTGGAAACGTTCAAAACTTCACTTCCAAAGTTCAGCCTGGAAGAGCTCCTTGATTTGTTTTTAACCCAGTGCATTCCTTCATTCACATTCATGACGAGACAGTTCAACTCTGTTTATGGCAAACCTCTTCCCCAAATTCCAAGAGGACCCACCATGAAGGTGCATTAAAGGGGGAGGGGGTCGAGGCCAAATGGAAAGGGAGAGAGCTTGCTGGAGAAATCTGTGGGCCGGCACTAGAGATGCCCCCTGAGAAGCTGCACCGGAGCCCTGAAGACGCCCCCCCCCCCCCCACCCGGCCCGCCTCTTAACTGAGCAGGTGGCGGCTGGTGATGCCCCGCTCCGTGATGGTGACCTCCATGGCGCTGATAGCCGAGGGGAAGATGTACGACTGCTGGAGGACCTGCGGCAAGAACGGGCGGTCCAGGGAGCTGAAGGCTGTGGCATTGTACTGCTCTGTCCCCTCATACAGCTCCAGTACCGTCAACTCGTTCCGGCGGGCCTTGGTGTTCCAATACTGATACTGGGGAGGGGAGAGGAGAGAAGGGGGGGGAGAGGGTTAGCGTAGAGAGGCAGGCTCGGGGACATTGCTGCAGGGAGCTCAGATTAAGACAGCAGGAAAGAAAAAAGCTGTATACACGCGCTTAGAAATGTGCTAACAGTACTACATTGTCACAATATTGGTGGAATGCAGCTAAAGCCTAAACAGCCCGTCTTCAAGAATAGCGGCACTTTAGGCTGTATCCAAAAACGGCTGATTGACTTGTTCACAGAATTGTGCAGCAGGAAAACACTGAAATCCTGTAGAGATGGCTGGTTTAACACCATGATGAATAATCGCTAGGAGACGACTATATGATATGTATGGTCCAGCTCGGATGAAGATCCACGGGACGACTCGGTAGTCCAAGACATTTCGTCAACACAACCCTTTGGATCTCTTTTTACACATGTATTGTTTTGTCACTTAAACTGTTCAATATTGTTACAACATAGTATTGTTAAATCGCATTTCTAAGCGCATGTATACAGCTTTTTCTCTTTCCTGCTGTCTTGATACTACGAGCTGCGATTCTCTAACGTTATAGGGGAGCGAAGATTAAGGCACAGGCCAGTCGTCATGGGAAACCAGGATTCGCTGCTCCATATAGGGGGGGGGGGAGAGAGAGAGAGAGAGAGAGAGAGAGAGAGAGAGAGAGAGAGAGAGAGAGAGAGAGAGAACCTTCTATCTCCAAGGGTTGCCAACCTCCAGGTGGGACTGGGAGATCTCCCTCTATCACAACTGATCTCCAGACCGCAGAGATCAGCTCCCCTGGAGAACGAGGCTGCATTGGAGGGGGGGCTCTGTGGCCTGGCACTCTGCTGGGGCCCCTCCCGTCCCCTCCCCAGGCTCCAACCACAAGATCTCCAGATGTTTCCCCACCCAGAACAGGCAGCCCTACTCCTCATGCCCACATAAGCCAGTGCGGAGCATTGCAAAGTGTCGGGCCTGAGCTGGGGAGACCCAGCTTCACATCACCCCCCCACACACACACCCACACACCATGAAGCCCTCGCTAGGCCTGTCACCCTCCCTGAGCCTAACCTCCCTCACGGGGCCGCTGCAGTGACAGAAGGATTGCTTATGGGGGAGGAGAGAGCCAGGGATGCCACACACCCTGCACTGCTCAGAGGACAGGCAGAGCAAAGAGGGGTTTCCCTAGTTTGTGGGGAGAGCTGCCAGCTTGCTGGCTCAGGCTGAAGCACAGTTTGGAACTCTAGAAACAACTGGCTGTGCCTCAAGCAGGGCAGAGAGCCTCCCCCGAGGGGGCCGGCCTGTGTACGTCGCTCCCCCCCCCCCCACTGGGGCAACAGATACTCATCGGGGCTGTTGGGTCAGGAAAGGTCTCTGGTTCCAGCCCCTTCTCCCCCCACACCCTCTTTGCAAGAAATCGGGCGACCCTTGAGCCCCCCGCAGCAGAAGAGGGCGGAGCAGGGCGAGGGTCCTCCTTACCAATGCTCCCTCTAAGCTGTGGAGTCTTGTGAGCAAAAATTCTACTCTGTGAGCTGCTGGCATTAAAATTGTGAGCGAGCGACTTAGCTACTGCATAAATTTAGTTTGCTCTGGAGCGATCCTTCCTGAGCTAAGACAAAAATGTGTGAGCTGGAGGCTAAAAAACTGTGAGCTAGCTCACACTAACTCAGCTTAGAGGGAACACTGCTCCTTACCACCACCCAGTTTTCCGAATGCACAATGTGGACGGGTCCCTTGGCCTTCCGTTGCACCGAGGAGTGGATGATCCGGCCCGTGACGCTGTCAATCAAGTAGATCCCGATGAACGTGCGCTCGTGGTGGCCGTCCGCGCTCTCCGTCACCACCGCCAGCAGGTTTGGGTTCAGAGACTGAAACAGGCCAGAGGACGCCGTTTACAGAGATGCCGTCAGCCAGCCAAGAGCCTCCCGAACCCTTTGTATCAAGCCATCGGAAGATAAAGGCTGACGACAGACTAGAGAACTAGGAAGGTGCGGGACGTTAGAAAGGGGAGGTCTTGTGGGAACTTTAAAGGTAAAGGTTTCCCTTGCTCGAAAGCTAGTTGAATCCGACTCTAGGGGGCAGTGCTCGTCTCCGTTTCCAAGCCGAAGAGCCAGCGCTGTCCGAAGACTTCTCCGTGGTCATGTGGCCGGTGTGATTAAACACTGAGCCACACAGAGGAACGCTGTTACCTTCCCAATTAAGTGGTCCCTATTTATCCACTTGCAATGTCTTGCTTTCAAACTGCTAGGTTGGCAGGAGCTGGGGCCAGAGACGGGAGCTCACTCCGTCACTCAGGTCTCGAACTGCCGAGCTACTGACCTCCCGGTCTGCAGCTCAGCGTCTCAGCCCTCTGAGCCACCGCGGCCCCTTGTGGGAACTTAGGGGGAGCCTAATGAATCTGGGACCCACTGAGCTTAGGGACCTATATCTAGAAGGAGAAAGGGCCTCTGTGAGTCTGGTCTCCCGTGGTGGAAAGGAGTCATCGTCCATCATGGGATCCCCCTCCTCTGTCTCCAAGATCAACCAAAAGGGGGTGCTGAAGGGGTTCCCTGCTCCAATAAGCCCCTGCCAGCGAGCACTCCCGTCTGAGCAGCCATGCTCAGGATGGGCGCCAGAATTAGAAGAGCGCGGCAGAATCACCCAACAGTCAGCCCCCACCTAGTCCCACGGCTGGTGTGGGCAGCCAGAGGTTTCTGGGCAGTCCAAAGCAGGCCTCGAAGGCAACAGTCCCGCCCCCCCTCTCTGCTGCCCACGCCCAAGAAACTGGGGACCAGAGGTACACTGCCTCGGAACATGGAGGTTTCACGGAGCGACCAGGGCTAACAGCCGGTGGCAGGCCTGTCTGCCATGAAACACCCCTTCTCAAAGCTCGCTGAGCAGCTTGAGTTCAGGCGCTTTCTTTCAGTAAAGTGGGGGGGGGGGGTCTGGGGGGGGGGGGGGGGTGAGGGAAGGGTGCGGCATACGCCGTGGTTCGCTCAAGGCAGAATTAAAACATGTCATTTTTTAAAACTGGCCACTGCACAGATTTCACCCACGTCCCTCAGAAATCACAGCACTGCCCAGCGATGTTCCCTCTAAGCTGTGGAGTCCTGTGAGCAAAAATTCTACTTTCTGAGCTACTGGCATTAAAGTTGTGAGGGAGCGATTGGGCTAACTGCAGAAATCGGTTTGCTATGGAGCCCTCCTTCCTGAGCGGAGACAAAAAATGTGTGAGCCGGAGGCTAAAAAGCTGTGAGCTAGCTCACAGCTTAGAGGGAACACTGCTGCCCAGCAAAAAAGCAAGACAGCCGAGTGGATGAATCTAGGAATGCAAAGAAACTGAAAACCCTCCCCAACACCCCCCCCAAAAAAAAAAACACACCTAAAGTTTGGTTTTCAAAATGTAACAATGAGCCACTGGACAGGATTCAAGCCAGCTACTTCCGAAAGACCTTCAAGAGGAAGAAGATGATATTGGATTTATACCCCGCCCGTCACTCGGAGTCTCAGAGTGGGCAAGGTATAAATCCGATCTCCTCTCCTCTTCTCTCTTCTTTTGGTCTGAAAGGACATCATCTCTTTCCCCCAACTGCCCTTTCTCTCTTCAAAACTCATCCAACGGCCCATCATTACTATTATAGTTTAAGAATAAAATGTGGGATATTTTTCCTGCACAACCGGATAATATGCTACACACACACCCCGCCCTGATTTGTCATCTTAATGGTGCTCAGCCCTTTGGGCACTGATCTTAGTATCAAAAAGAACGCCGTGTGCCCACCCGGCAGCCAAGCCCGCCCCCCCTGCCCATGCACCTTGTAAAGCACGCTGCGGTCCCCCATCACACGGCCCTGGGAATGGACATGCTCATTGGCTCTCTTCCCCTTCACGGTCACGATCCGCTGTACGTCCGGAGGGATGCTGATCTCCCAGCTCTGCTCTGTCGTCAAGTCCTGCAATGGGATCCGAGAAACCCAGACTGTAAATGTCAGCCCCATGTCCAGCGGCCCCCAAGGTCAGAGGCCAAATTCCCTGCACTGCACCCAACAAAACATGCATCAAAGCGCCAAGCCCGGAGTGACCGTAGGCCTGGACGTGGGACAGACCCATATGCCTGGGTTGCACAGCCCAGGCCCAACCCAAACTGGTCGCTCTCTGCTGGCGCATTTGCAAAACGGCCCTGGCCAAACTCCTCAGACTATAAGTGGATTTCCAGCTGCTTCTCCTGATGTTATGTGTTTTGTTTTATATGAACGGCCAGATTTTATGCTGGCGTTTACCTGCTGCTTTGCCAGGGTTTCCGTTCTCTTATTACTCTTTCTTTCATTATTGTTTTTCTAAAATTGTACTGTGAGGCACTGCAAGCTTGATACCCGAAGAAACACCTAATAAATTATGATAAGGTTACCGGAAAGTGCTCCAACTCAGACTTGGGTCGTCCTCCTGAGCGTCTTGGGAAGGGGGGAGGAATAAGCCAAATGCCTACTGGCCTATGGAGCCCAAGGACTTGGGTACCCAAGCGTGTACAAAGAAGTATCTCTTTTCTACAGGCCAGCTTACAATTCAGCATGGCCAAAACACAGCCTGTCCAAGGTTTTAGGGAGAGGCCACTGTTGGGATCCAGTCTCTGGTCCCTGACTGGCAACCCCCCCCCCCAGTCCTTCACGGTCAGAGTTCAACATTAACTCACCCTCTCTATGGCTGGCACAGCTGGCTACACCCTGGCAGCCAGGTGAATCTTGGCTTCCGCCTGCCCACCCCTGCCACGCTCATCCCTTTGTGTAGCCTTAGACCTCTTCCGCAGTCAGCCCCAAGGTCCCACCTCCCCTGCCCCCAACTGCCGTGACACCCCCCCCCCACTTGCATTTCCAGATCAGCCTGTCCCTCTGACACCCACTGATGATCTCACTTCCTGGGGTCACTGCCTATGGCACATTGCAGGAAGCTCCACCTCCCTCTGGCGATTGGGCAAAACAAACCACGGGCAGCAAAACGAGGGGCTCTACCTTGCGCAGCTGCCTCCCGGTCAACTTGCCCTGCTCCACATCTGCCAAGTAGAATGAGACGGAGGGGGCCATCTCCTCCAACTGCCGGAGGACGTTCTTCGTCGCCGGGAAAACAGTCACCTGACAGTAAACGGAAAAGACACCGTTCGAGGGAGCACTTGCGGTCAGGTTAGAACAGATGAAAGGACGTCCTTCTTCACCCAAAGAGGGATTAACACATGGAATTCACTGCCCCAGGAGGTGGTGGCGGCTACAAGCATGGACGGCTTCAAGAGGGAATTGGATATGCATATGGAGCAGAGGTCCATCGGTGGCTATTAGCCACAAGGTATAGATAGGGACTCTCAGGCTGGGGCAAGGGATGCTGTGTCTTCTTGGTGCTTGCGGGGGGTCAACAGTGGGAGGGCTTCTAGTGTCCTGGCCCCACTGCTGGACCTCCTGATGGCACCTGGTCTTTTTGGCCACTGTGTGACACGGAGTGTTGGACTGGATGGGCCATTGGCCTGATCCAACATTGACTTCTCTTATGTTCACTTTTGGGTCAGCCGGAGGAGGACACCCGAGCAGGAAGGTACCTTGTATTCGTCATCGATCAGCAGCAGCACTTTGGCGTAATCTTGGTCCATGATGGGCAGAAGCAGCGACTGGAGGATCGGGCGCTTCAGCACCGGAGGGGCCACCTGACTCCACCTCCCAAAGATGGGGTTGAAGACGTACAGGCTGCTCTGGCCGGTCTCCTGGAAGACAGAGTGGTCAGAAGCCGAGGGCTCGTTCGCGGAGCCAGTTTGTAGGACCACAGAAAACATTTACCCCACCCCTCTTGCCAAGCGTACAACAGTGCAATGTGCAGAAATCTGGTAAGACTCTCCCAGCAGTTAAGCAAATCAGGGTCCAGAGATGCACTGAGGACATTAAGTGTTAACTTCTTGACACCAAACCTGATTTTTATGGTCTTTTCTGTGCTAATGCTGTGCTAAAGCCAACCAGTCCAAACAGCGGGCACTGACCTTGCCCTTGACCAGGAGGGTGCACTGCGGGGGGTGGGGGAAGTGAGCCGTTGTCCTCTGGACCATCAGCTTGAAGGAGGAGCCCGGCTTCACATCCTGGAGGTACTGCTTCCACAGGATCGTGCCGGAGCTGCTTTCAATGCCAAAGAGCTGAAAGGATCAAACGAGAGGTTAGCGAGACGCAGGGGGAGAGGGGCGTGGTCTAATGGGAGCAGACAAGGGTCACAGGGAGGATACAGGCACGGTTCGCGCTCAGAAATGAAGCAAGCCACGGCTTCGAGCAGCTTGCCTCTGTTCATTTCCCACCCACTCAGCATCTCAGTGTCCTCCGGAAGAGGAGTTGTGGCTGCGGCGAGAGCCGCTCAGCCCGTTAGGATAAACTGTGGTTAGCAAGCAGACCCACTCCACACCACTGCTTCCAGTTTGTTAGCCGAATGCCAACCAGGAATCTGTTGATTCAGTCATCCAGCTACACCAGACCAGTGGTCCCTTTAATCCAACGTATTGTTTCACACAGCTGCCAACCAGTTCTCCTGGGGAGTCAACAAACAGGGCATGGAAACGCCTTTTTTCCTTGCACTAAAAAAAAATCCCAGCCTCTTCCATGGTTCTTGACTGGGAAGGTGCTCCAGCTTCTTAATCAACTGGATTGCTTCCTGCAATACCTTTTGTGACATCACTCCACTTCCCGTTATAGAGGACAGATGGACTCCCATCTTAGCTGTATCTGAAGAAGCGAGCAGTGACTCCCCGAAAGCTCCTCCCCTGCCACAAACCCTGTTAGTCTTGAAGGGGCTCCTGGACTCTTGCTCTTTTCTACAAGTGCACCATAGCTTTCGACAAGGGCATTACAATATTGGCCATTATATTTTCCACCCTTTCCTAATAACTCCTAGCATTGCATTTGCCCTTTTCACCTCTGCTGCATGCTGGCTCGACATTTTCATCAAGGTTTCCACTACAACCCCAAGATCTCTTTCAGTCTCAGTCTCGGCCAGTGCAGAGACTCCATCTGCGTATATCAGTAGCAGCCACAATCGCATCAGGCCTGACGGGAAGCTTTTACATAAGTTAAGAAGTGCGATGCCTGCAAATTAGGAGGGAGGAAAATTGCCTGCTGTTACAGGCTCCTTCTGTGTAAGTTATATCAGAAAACCATCTCACAGTTTTTGTCTTAGCTCAGGAAGGAGGGCTCCTCCAGGCCAAACTGATTTATGCAGGAGCCAAATGGCTCGCTCACAACCTTAATGCCAGTAGCTCACAAAGTAGAACTTTTGCTCACAAGACTCCACAGCTGAGAGGGAGCGTTGCTTGCTGCTCTTAAAACCTTCCTCCCATTCGGTGGTAATTGTGCCTGCACTCCAGAATTGTTGTCACAAACTAAAAGTGTAAAGGATATGGCGTATGAGCTGCCCTCTAAGCATTTAGTGTTTCCCCTAAAGGTCTGTTTCCACAAGATCATGAGATTAAAGTACAGCAAAGGTTTTTCAAGCTGGGAGAAAAAAGGCTTGTTCTTCTAATGTACCCCGGGGACAGGTTTGCACTCCCACACACACACACCAGTGTTCCCTCTGAGCTGAGTTAGTGTGAGCCAGCTCACAGTTTTTTAGCCTCCGGCTCACACATTTTTGTCTTCGCTCAGGAAGGAGGGCTCCAGAGCAAACTAATTATGCAGCAGCCCAATCACTTGCTCACAACTTTAATGCCAGGAGCTCACAAAGTAGAATTCTTGCTCGCAAGACTCCACGGCTTGGAGGGACGCATTGGCTGGGAGCACCTGCCTCACCACAAGCCCAGGGCATGGAAACTAAACTCGGGCACAGCCCGCTCCCCTCACCTTCCCGGAGGCCGTCACCACCACAATCATCTTCTGCAGGTTGAACTCGTCCCTGGCCAGGTTGTCGATGTTGATCTCGTTCTTGATCAGGCTCCGGGGCCTGCGGGCATCGTAGAACATCTTCCAGAGGTGAGCGGTCCAGGCCTGCAGCAAGATGAGCTGGGAGGACAAGCGCTTCAGGACCATGCCCAGCAAGCCGTCTGGAAAGGAGAGAAGAGGCTGTGGAGGCTGTGGAGGGCCAGGGCACAGCGGGATGCGTCAGGCAGAAGGGCCGGTCTCCCCCCCCCGGGCGCCTCTCACTCAAGGCTGCGGCAGGACAGCTTGGGGGAGACTCCCCGGCACCCTGGAGAGTAGCAGGTAGAGAGGGCAGGCAGCACCCTGCCTTGTGGAAGGAGCTCCCGAGTGAGATCGGGGCCCTGCGGGATTTATTACAAGACGGAGCTCTTCCACCGGGCTTTGGGCTGAGGCAGCGGGCATTCCTCCTCGGGCCGGCCCCCATTTACAGCTTGGGTCGGCCCCTGTTTTATAGCCTGGGTCTGAGATCCTAAACGGTACAGATTTCTGAGAAATTTATTCCCAGCCCTATCAGCCACTGAGGCAACTGGCTTTTTATAAGGGTTGCATGTTTTATATGTCTTAACAGGGTTTTAGCTGTATTGTATTGATATTGTTGTACTATATTTATATTGTTGGAACCCGCCCTGAGCCCGTTAAGGGGAGGACAGGATACAAATCCAATAAATAAATAAATAAATAAATAAAGAGGGTCCGGGGGCTTGACTTGGTGAGAGACTGACAGGGTGACACAAGGATTGGGCCCAGTCAGCCAGAATGTTAGTGGCTCCACATCTCACAGTGGCTGTGTGCTTCCATTGGCCAGCACGTCACAAAAACACTGGGGAGAAATGAAGTTCCCTCAGTCAAGGAAGGGGGAAAGGAGTGCTGGTCCAGCCTCAGCTGCCTGAAGGTTTCACATATTTTGTTCGGAGGCAGAGGATGCTGGGGAAAGAGAGAACGAAGGTGCTCCTTTGGTGTGGAGGGGGGGGGGACTCCAGAGTGGAATCAGCAAACCTCTTATATGTCTTTCTCTAAAAGACTGATTAGTCTCCCCCCCCCCCACAAGACACCACGGTCAAGGCAGCTCATGATAACATACACCGTAATATGGCACCACTACCCAAAAAAACCCCAGAAATATCTGTAAGACAGCAGAGGAGACCGCATGGCAGTAGATCGAGTGAGAGGGCACAAGAAATGAAAAAAGTCAGCAACACTCCTGAGCGAACCACAGCCTTCTGCAGGTGCCTAAGGGTCAGCAAATCCGGCACCACAGAGGTCACTGCACGGATGGCGTTCCATAGCTGGGCGGAAAAGGCCCAGCTCCGGTCGCCTCCCTCCTCACGCCCGGAAGCGAGGGCGGAGAGAGCAGTGGCTGGCAGGCTGACCTCTAAGCGAGTTCTCAAGGAAGACCGCAAGGATGGAACAGGAGGAATTAAGTTATCTCCTGCCTCTCTCTGTCAAAACGTTTCATTTCTGGTTAGACTCTGCGTCAAGCTATACATCAATACGATTTTTATAGAACGAGTAAGCAAGAAGCAAGCAGGTCACAGAAGCGAGGCTAAAAGAAATTCTGCCTTACCTTGAATGGCTGGTTCCCAGGCAGCCAAACACAAAGCAAGAAATACCATTCAATTTTTTTTCCTCATTGCCAAAAGCTGCAAGGAACACCCCGGAAGAGGCTGGCCCCTCTCCCTTGCCTCCCAAAGGTCTCCGGGCAATTTGTGTAGAAGGCCAGGGCCATTTACAAGGCCAGATAAGAAGGGAGACGAGATTGGATTTATACCCCACCCTTCACTACCCAAAGGAGTCTCAGAGCGGCTGACAAGCTCCTTTCCCTTCCCCTCCCCACAACAGAAACCCTGTGAGGTGGGCGGGGCTGAGAGAGCTCTTGACAGAAACTGCTCTTTTTCAAGATCAGCCGTGCCAGAACTGTGGCTTGCCCAAGGTCATTTAGCCAGGTGCAAGTGGAGGAGGAGTGGGGGAATCAAACCCGGTTCTCCCAGATTAGAGTCCGTGCACTTAACCACTACACCAAACTGGCACACAGTCCTCCAGAGAACAGTTAAAATTCTTTAAACTTCTGCCCTTTTATTGGGGGGGGGGTGTGCTACAAAAAACACACATCTCCGGAAGTATTTATTTAAATTACTTATTAGCTGCCTTTCTTCTTTATGGAGCTCAAGGAGAACTACAATATTAATAAAACACATAAAATATGTTCCATAAGCACATAAAACCAAAATAACACCCCCTCTAGCAGAAAACACCCACAAATAGAGGCTTTATGATTCTTGGGAACCAGGTGGCAGGAAACACATTTAATCCCTCACCCATTTCGTGTGACACAAAATATTCTGTCCTAAAGCATCCCCTCCCCCCCCCACAGCTTCCGGTGGAAAGCGATGCATCCTTATCCCACAGCAGACACAGTCAGAGACAGTATGGGAGGGAAGGCCCTGGCGTGGCGGGAGCCACATCGCAGCCACGTGTTCTCCGCAGCCTTGAAACGGAAGCCCCTACCTGCTTTCTTTCCAAATTCGCCCTCCAGTTCGGCCTGCGCGCCCGTCAGGGGGAGGTCCACCATCTGCAGACTGACCACTTCCGCCAGAGATTCTTCTCTGCTCCACAGAACTTTCCCTGCAGAGAGGAAAGGTCAGCAAACCAATTCTGATTTCCCTCTATAGAAAGGGTTGTGCTGGACTCCCGGCATTCAGAGATCGGACCGCAGGCAATTTAACAAGGTGGCTGCTGGGGAAATGGCCTTTTAAAAATGGATTTAAGGGGACAGACTGGGCTCCACAACAGAGCACCCGCTTTACATGCACAAGGCCCCGAGTTTGATCCGTGGTATCTCCAACCAGAGGATCTCTGGAAACTGATCTCAAAAAAGGCCTTTCTCCTCCTGTGACCCTGGAAAGCTACTGCCAGTCAAAGTGGAGAAATACGGAGCTAGATGGACTGACGGTCTGATTCTGTAAGGCGCAGTCACAAAGAATGACTCTCAGATTGCAAAACACACCTGCATTTCACTACAGAGCAGGGGTGGCCAAACTGTGGCTCGGGAGCCACGTGCGGCTCTTTCACACGTATTGTGTGGCTCCCGGCAGGGCGGCTATGGGGAAGCGGGGGGGGGGGGGGGGGGGGCCTCCCCAATCGGTCTTCCCTTCCCCAGCCAGTGTTCCCCTCCCTGGGTAGGCTTGAGGTGGGGGAGGGAGCAGAGAAAGAAAGCAACTTTAAATGCGTTCTCAAAGCCCCCTCCCCCCACCCGCCAGCTTGGAGAAGGCATTTGTCTCTTTAAATCCCTTCTCCAAGCCCAACTGGCGTAGTGAGGGGGAAGAGGGCTTGAAGAACACATTTGAAATTAAAGGCGTTCTCCAAGCCCCCTCCCCATCTATTTAACTTTCTTTGTTTTTCTCTCTCTCTCTCCCCATCTATTTGCTTTCTTTCCACCTTTCTTTCTTTTTCTTTCTCCCTCCCTCCCTCTTTCTCTTCCTTCCTTCCCCCTCTCTCCCCCATCTATTTGCTTTCTTTCCACCTTTCTTTCTTTTTCTTTCTCCCTCCCTCCCTCTTTCTCTTCCTTCCTTCCCCCTCTCTCCCCCATCTATTTGCTTTCTTTCCACCTTTCTTTCTTTTTCTTTCTCCCTCCCTCCCTCTTTCTCTTCCTTCCTTCCCCCTCTCTCCCCCATCTATTTGCTTTCTTTCCACCTTTCTTTCTTTTTCTTTCTCCCTCCCTCCCTCTTTCTCTTCCTTCCTTCCCCCTCTCTCCCCCATCTATTTGCTTTCTTTGTTTCTCTTTCTCTCTTTCTTTCCACCTCTTTCATGCTTTCCTTCCACCTCTCTCTTTCTCTTTCTTAGACAAATAAGTATCATTAGCAAACAAATAAACATCATTGGACAAATAAATGTCATTATCAATATCTGTTTTTACCCCTTTTGTTTTTATTTTTGGCAGTGTAATTTAATGTTAATAAAAAGCAATTCTGCATATTTTCCAATAAAAATGTATGTGCAATATTTGTTCATGTCTTGCGGCTCTCAAACATCTGACGTTTATTCTATGTGGCTCTTACGTTAAGCAAGTTTGGCCACCCCTGTTCTACAGAGGCATTCAGCCACCTCTAGGAACTCCTGGATCAGCAGCTTTGGCTGTCTCCAAAATTAACTCGCAACAATCCAGCTGCCAACAGGGAAAACCTCTGGCAAGGAAGAGCTCGGAGAACGTTGAACCAACCACAATACAAGATTACCTGGTTGCTGGAGGAATAAGAGCATGTGATCAGCCGTTTGCACCAGAGTCCGGTAACCGACAGAATCGTCCTTCTTCAGAAAGACCTGAATGTAGAGCTACCCAAAGGGGGAGGGGGGAGACATCACCATATTGACACCTGCTGATTCAGTGCCTGCAGCCCTCCTTTGCACTGATCCGCCAGGGTACGGGGGAAGGGAAAGGAAATGGGTCAAGCGGGTTCCTCTTACCTGCTCAGGCCGGGGGCTGCTTTTCTCCAAGGTGAAGGAGATGGTTGTATCCAGCAGCTTTTGCCCAGTTTCTGCCAAGTACAAGTTAGTTACATACGACCGGTTGTGGCAAGACAGGAATTCCTGCGGCGGTGGCAGGGTTGGGAGGGAAGAAGAGGGGGAAGGACTGATTAATTGGGGCGACTTTGGGCTTGCAAGTCTAACCCTCCAAATCTTGTCTGATAAGCAAACATGGCCAAGCAGGGGAGGATTTTTAAACTAAGGACGCTACCGAATTGTGCGAAAAAAATCCCTGTTTTGATCTTACTTCTCTTTTTTGGTAGTCATAGAATCATAGAATGTTAGAGTTGGAAGGGACCTTGCAGGTCATCCAGTCCAACCCCCTGCACTCTGCAGGCGCATAGCTGAAAGATAGCCCTACATATCTACAACATGCCCGAAAGATGGTCATCCAGCCTCTGCTTGAAAACGTCCAGCGAAGGAGCATCCACCACCTCCCAGGGCAGACTCTCTCTCTCCCCCTCTCTCCCCCCATCTATTTGCCTGAATTGGCAAATCCACCACCACCACCCCATATTTATCCTTGCACCATTTTCTGTTTCCTCATTTCATAAGAACGTTAATCTTTCTTTTCTTGCTTCGACAGCACAAAAGAAATCAGGAACACAAGCACCAAGACCGAACGAAGTGAAAAGGCTTGTGAGGGCATCATCTAAGAGTTTAATTTAAAGAAAGCAGCAGAGTCAAAGGCAACAATGCCTCCCCCACTGTCAGAGGAGACCACAGAACGATTTCCTTCTCCCAAATTTTATTAAGAACAGTCATAAGACCAGCAAAATAAACCAAAATAGTACAACACCGAGTCTACGACATAGAATCCTTGCAGCCTTAAATACTAAAATACGAAACCGGTCAATTCCGTCATTAATGGCTCGAATTACAGTACATTCTACGCTTTTAAATTACCAAATAGCAATATTTAGCTACATTGCGTGAGACAGAATCATAAGTATCGGCCAATAAAAACTTCATCAAACATTCCTCGGCATATGTAAGATAGATCTCCTCCTCCCAGGTCTCCTATCCAGTTTTAACCACACAGCACCAGCTTGGGCTACTCTCAGAGGCACAGGAATCTTTCCTACTTATGGGTTTGTCTGAACCAGCTAGCCAGCTGAGGGTCATCTGGGTGCCTGGCTTTCTGCAATTAAAAAAAACCCCACCAAGGCAGAGCTTGGGGTCAGGTCTGCAATACTCATGCCAAATCCACAGTGAATGTTAGGGACACAGGCTCACCCAGATCTTACAGGACTGCCTGCCCGGCAAGATCATCCACAGAGGTCCTACTCTGTGTGGCACCCTTTATTGGAGGCGAGTACCTCCTAGGGAAACGGCCTCCTTGGTGGTGGCACATCCCTTATGGAGCCCTCCCCCACCCCTCAGCTATCCTTGCTTGGCTGGCTCCAGGAACCAACTTAAAATATTTGTGTTGAATTGGGCATTCGGGTAATTTGGATGCTGCCCGGGCAGGGGGCGGGGGGAGTGTTTCTAACCCTCTACCTTTGCTTTGCGAGAGCCAGCTTGGTGTAGTGGTTAAGTGCGCGGACTCTAATCTGGGAGAACCGGGTTTGATTCCCCCACTCCTCCACTTTCACCTGGCTGGATGACCGAGTGCAAGCCATAGCTCTGTCAGAGCTGTTCTTGAAAAAGGGCAGTTTCTCTCAGAGCTCTCTCAGCCCCGCCTACCTCACGGGGTGTCTGTTGTGGGGAGGGGGAAGGGAAAGGAGAGTGTAAGCTGCTCTGAGACTCCCAGAGAAGGGCCAGGGGGTATAAATCCAACCTCTTCTTCTTCTTCTTCTTCTTCTTGTAATCCTTGGGGGAAAACATTCCCCCTAACAGCACCACCAGCAACCCCTTCCAAAGGGGAGCCCAACCCAGCCACAGCAACACAGGTGCCTGCCTTTCCCACCTTACGCAGAACACTTCAGCCGCCTTCGGCTACTTGTGTTTCTTAGGGCCTGACAGATGGTTCGTTATGACCGACTCCCAGCAAAAGCAGGCCCCATTCCACAGACGATCGAGGCAGCTGGCCTCCCGGGCTCTTACCGCTTCCGCCTTGCAAGTCAGGACTGCAGCCACCGTCTTCTCATTCGTCGTTGCAAAGGTCACGAGGCCCGCCTGGGAGAGAGACAGGAGGAGGAAGAAGGAACGCTTTGGCAAGAAGGTGGACGGGGACACCCCGAACATTCCTCCAAGGGGCTGGGCTCTGACCGGGCGACCTGGCCAGGCCTCTCCGTCCCTCTCGCATTTCAAGCACTAGCAGCCTCTCTCCGTTACCTGCGGGAAATCCCGGAGGAGGCTCAGCACGCCATTCCGATGCTGCAGCAGCGCAAAATGGGTCGGGGAGAGCTGCACGAAGAACTGAGCTCGGGAAGCGCTGGCAGGATTCGGCTGAGTGGACCAGAGACGGGCCTGGAAAGTCTCCGTGAATTGGAGTCCAAGGGACTGCGGAAGAAAAAGGCTGCAGGATCAGCCAGGCAGACAGAGTCCAGGGCACCTCCAGGGTCGCTGGCACCCTCGCCTGGCACCTTTTAAGCCCCCCAGGGAAAAGTTTCCTGGACCTGGTGGGCTTCTGCCCCTCTTCCTCCGCCTCTTTCATGCTATCCTTTCTCCAAGGACCTCACGGGAATGTGTGTGGCTCTCCCCTGGGGCTGGAACTGTATAGGACAGCCTACTGAGCTACCGAAGACTCTGTGTGCTTTCCTCAAGTGCAGGAGGAGAAAGAGATGTGCAGCATTAGTATGTCACTGGCAGGCAGGATGAGGCCCCTGGGCTGACCGGCCTGAAGTAAAGCCTGGCCTTCTGCCCCAATCTGGGCCACTTTGTGCCTCCTGCGCAGATCAGCCCCTCCATCTGCCTCCACCTTCAGCCCAAGTCCCTGGCTCAGAGAAGCTATGCTCCAGATCTGGATTCAAGGACAGCCACCCACAACCTCATCCTGACAGCCACAACCCTTTAGCAAGGCCCCACGAGCAACCAAAGCTCTCCTGGCCGTCTTGGGGACGAGCTTCCCTCTAGATTCCTCACCTCCAGCAGAACCTGCTTCATCTCTTCGTTGGAGTCCAGGGAGAAGGTGTAAAGGGAGGCCGTGGCCAAGTCCACGCACACCAGCACAGCCTCTCCCATGACTGCGCAAGACTGGCTGAGGCTTCTTATCCAGGGGGCTTCCACCCTACTCTGTATGGAGGGGGAACAGAGAGAGAGAGACATTAAAAAGACAAAGTCACTACAGGTGGATGTTAGGCAGCTGTGGCTTAATAGCAGAGCCCCAACTTTGCATTCCAAAGACCTCAGGGTCAATCCCTGGCACCTCCAGTTCAAGAGTGTCACAGGCCACATGTCGGGAAGGATTCTCCCTTGCCAGAGATCCTGGGGAGCTGCTACCATCAACATGGATAATACTGTGTCCAGTGAACCAATTTTCTGACAATTTTCTGACAATTGGTCCACCTATTCTATGATCACCTATTCTATGATCATCTTCGGCTGGCCCGGCAGTTGGTCCCCTATCTCAGCCGCGAGGACCTGGCCACTGTGATCCACGCGACGGTCACCTCGAGGCTAGACTACTGTAACGCTCTCTACTTGGGGCTGCCTTTGTTGCTAATCCGGAAGCTGCAGCTAGTGCAGAATGCTGCGGCTAGGCTGCTGATGGGTCTCTCAAGGAGGGACCACATCCGGCCGGTGCTGCAAGCGCTGCACTGGCTGCCTATAGCATACCGGATTCGTTTCAAAGTGCTGGTTCTTACCTTTAAAGCCCTGAATGGCCTGGGTCCAGCCTACCTGAGGGACCGCCTCTCCCCGTATGTTCCCCCAAGAGCGCTGCGGTCGGGGAGTCTGGACCTTTTAGAGGTTCCAGGCCCCCGGGATATCAAGCTTGCCCTAACCAAAGCCAGGGCTTTCTCGGTGGCGGCTCCTACCTGGTGGAATGAGCTCCCGGCGGAGATCCGGGCCCTGCGGGACCTGGTACAGTTCCGCAGGGCCTGCAAGACGGAGCTCTTCCGCCAGGCTTTCGAGTAGGAGCCGCCGCCGTCGCCACGTTACCACCACCGTGGCGTGATTTACCATCTCCATGGCTTAAAGGGGCAAGGGTTGTTGCTGCCCCAAGAGGAACATTCTCTGGCGTTCCTGTTTTTCGTCTACCATCGGCCGCCAGTGAGGGATATTGACCATCTTGAAGTTTAATATTGAATTGTAGAGCACCATTTTAGTTTAAAGTTATTAAGGTTTTAATGTAATCTATGTTTTATTTCCGGCGCTGCCGCTTGTTTGCCGCCCTGGGCCGTAAGGGTAGGGCGGGATACAAATCTCAAAATAAATAAATAAATAAAATAAATAATAAAATGGCTAAAAATTATATACAGTCTGATCATAAAGGTAAGTCTTGGTGAGTTCCGCAGGATTTACCTCCAAGTAAGCGCATACAAACTTCAGTTTGAACTGGTAAATTCTTAGCTGCAGGGTCAAGCTATCTTTCCAAAATATCAATCAGAGCGCCATCTGGAAAAATAAACCCGACTGCTCCAAGCCCAGAGCACGCTCTACCTGTTTTGCAATTTCACCATCTTCAACACTGAAGGCGAGGATGTTCACATGGCTCTGAGGAGAGACCCCAAGGACATACACCACATCGGTTCCATAAGAATACACCAGCTGATACTGGACAGTCTCGCTGGGAAGAAAACCGGAAGTTAACATAACCAGTCATCACCACAACTTTTTTGCTGCCCTAGAATCCGGCCATATCAGCTCCTGTGTGTAGCCTGGAAGAGATACGACCTCCTCATCTGCCGCTGGTTAGATGTGGGCAGCCGCATATTCTTTTCGGACAGCGAATGATTTCTCTGCATTCATTCTTCCCACATCATTTTTATCTACAGCTACTGCTGCCTTCTGCTGATCCCACCTGCTCAAGCCACTCTTTTCAAAGAACACAAGATTCTTCCCCCCACCTTACCAGCATCATTTCACAGTGATGAGAGGCAGGCAGGCAGGCAGGCAGGCAGGCAGGCAGGCAGGCAGGCAGGCAGACAGCTAAGAGGATCTGATCAGTTGCTAACAGAAGAGCTCAGCTCATGAGTAGACCCTACCTGTCGGGTAACTGCTCCACCCATTTCTGGTGGCCGTTGGAGAGGTAGTGAAGGGACAGCGCACCTTTCTTCAAGACCGCCACGTACTTTACAGAGTCCTGCAGTCCCACCAAACTTGCCATCTGGAAACTTACATTAACAAATGCATAGCTTAACATCATTTGCCCTTCCTAATAAACTGCCCATCCCTCTTTCCTGGATCCCTGAACCCCCTCACCTGCCCGTGTCCATGGATGTCTCCCAATTCAAGCCTCCAATGTTGGTCTCCCAGGATCGAAGGATGCGACCCCCATTGGAAACAGTGATGGCATCTGCCGGGGGGGGGGGGGGTGGGGGGCGCAGGCACACAAAAAGGTGGTCAAAAGAAGAAGAAGAGATTGGTTTTAGACCCCGCCCTTCACTACCCAAAGGTGTCTCAGAGCAGCTTACAAATGCCTTCCCCTTCCCCTCCCCACAACAGACACCCTGTGGGGTAGGTGGGGCTGTGAGAGCTCTGACAGGAACTGCTCTTTTTCAAGAACAGCCCTTGTCAGAACTATGTCCTGCCCAAGGTCATCCAACTAGGTGCGAGTGGAGGAGTGGGGGATCAAACCCGGTTCTCCCAGATTAGAGTCCGCGCACTTAACCACCGCACCAAACTGGCAGCACAGCCCACAAATGCAGCACAGAAAAGAGTAAGGGACCCACATCTCATTTCCCTTATTTTTCATCATATTCCAGGACCTTTGAAAATCTGCTGAATTGCATACTTGAGCTGCATCTCTTAACACTATAACACAAATTATGACACTATAACACAAGGCTCAACCATCAGCAACTGCAATGAGGCTACTCTATAGTATGCCTTTACTCCTTAGCCAGGAAACACCCACTCCACGCCCCACCTTTGCCACGAGTTCACTAGGTGGCCTTAGGCGAGTCACCCCCAGCCTTAACACCCCAGTTCTTAGAAGCCATCCCAGGCAAATGTGATTCCTAAACATATATATAAGTAGCCTGGAAGTTTCAAACTGGATTTAAACTGTGATGTCATAACTACGTTGTCCCAAATGGCAAGACCCTGCACATGTACTCAGGTTTGCCAGAAAGATAAAAGCGCATTACAGTGAACTGCAGCTGACACACAGAAGCATTTTAATAATCGTAATTAATTAATTATTGTACGGCAGTGGGTGTAGGTTAGCCAGGAGATCCAAAGATGGTCTCGTAGCCTGAAACTCTATTTAACTGTTTTTGTGGTGAGCTAGGTTTATTTGGGGGGCTGAAAGAGCTGTGAGTGACCCAAGGTCACCCAGCTGGCTTCTAGTGCAGGAGCGGAGAATCAAACCCGGTTCTCCAGGTTAGAGTCCGCTGCTCTTAACCACTACACCAAACAGGCTCTCTACTGATCACAAATAACACAGCTATGGCCTCAACCACTTGCTTACCTTGTCCATGGATCAGCATGGTGTCTACCACCCCTTCTGTTGTCCCTTTGTCCACATGGCGCCACACTTGAAAAAGAACCAGGAGTCATTTGAAGTTGCCCCATACAGAGTCAGATCAGTGATTAGCCAAGGCAGGGGTCTCTTTCCCACCCCTGATGTCAAAGATTAAACCAGGGACCTCCCACATGCAAACAAAGCGCTCTGCTACTAAGCGCTGGAACTTCCCAAATATTGAGTAAAGCATTTAGCATCTGTTCTATTGAGTTAGAGGAGTCCACCCCATGAACAATATTATAAATATTCCAAACTGTCTTATACAAATCAGAACCAGGAGTGATGCTAACACATACCTAGTCATACTCAGGCCTGTAGCCGTGGGGGGCATTAGGGGGCAATGCCCCCCACAGATGAGCGCTGCCCCCTCATACTCATCTTGTTGGTACACGCTGCTAATGTGCCCAGGGGTTCCTGGGGGAATAAGGAGCCTGCCATGTTACAGATACTCACGGATTTCTCCTGTCCTGGAATTGAAAGCAGCCATCACATTCTTTTCTGTGGCTACAATAAGCTTCTTGGAGCCCTGGGAGGCCTCCAAGGAAGCAAATTTCAGCTTTCCCACATACTGCTGTCTCCTAGTCAAAAAACAAAACAAAGAATGTCAGCTGTGACAATTCCTCCTGAATTAGTGTGCAAGAGAAAGGTAAGTGTGTATATATGTATGTATGTGTGTGTGTATATATATATACATACATACATACACACACTTGCAACAAGCAATACATACAGCCCAAAGTTATGAAGGCTTTACATTTCTAGCTTAGCTTGGGAGAGCGATGGCACGTTCAAAGAGACAGAAAGCTTTTAAAAGCATAACTACTGAATCACACCAGAGCCCTATCTGGACTGGTGTTCTGTTTCCTACAGTGGCCAGATGCCTCTGGAAAACCCACAAACACGCCACAAATCAGACAACCTTCAAGGACTAGGCCCGGCATATGAACCTGGAGGTACAGTGCTTTTTCACATTTAAAGTTTTATTTCAATTTTCTTTAGCCCTTAGATCAAGCCAAAACTCCATCCTTCCTATTTCCAACAGAAGCCTGTTGGTGGTTTTTCAGGAAGCTCATGAGAGTGACACCAAATGCGATAGCCCCCCCCCCTTTTCCAACAGAAGCCTGTTGGTGGTTTTTCAGGAAGCTCATGAGAGTGACACCAAATGCGCCCCCCCCCCGGTGCTTTCTCCATTCTTCAGAGTCTGCCTTTGAACAGGCAGGTTCCATTTCGCCATCAGGGCTGAGATCCCTTTACGAGACCCGCACCCCCTCTCAAGAACTGGTTTACTGAGTCCCTCAAACGTGCCCTAAACTAGGGCTGCATCCAATGCTCCCTCTCAGCTGTGGAGTCTGGTGAGCAAAAATCCTACTTTGTGAGCTGCTGGCATTAAAGTTGTGAGCGAGCGTTTTGGCTGCTGCATGAATTAGTTTGCTCTGGAGCCCTCCTTCCTGAGCGAAGGCAAAAATGTGCAAGCCAGAGGCTAAAAAACTGTGCGCTGGCTCACACCAACTCAGCTTAGATGGAACACTGGAGCCTTCCTTCCTGAGCGAAGGCAAAAATCTGTGAGCCGGAGGCTAAAAAACTGCGAGCTGGCTCACACCGCCTCAGCTTAGAGGGAACACTGGCTGCATCTCGTGGCAGCGAGTTCCGCAAGTCATGCCTGGGTCTGGCGCAGCTCGACCCAGGCGGAGCCAAGACCGGCCCGGGCTTCTCACCCACCAGTCAAACTTGCCCACTTGGTCCTCGTAGACGGCGTCGGCCGGGAGGAGGAGGAGGAGCAGCAGCGAGAGGCAGGCCAAGACCCCCCACAGCCTGGACGCCGCCATGACAGCCGCGGCGGTGAGAGAGGGAGAAAGAGCCGCGGAAGGCCTCCGGTATCCCATCAGGCACCGCGAGACCATAGAGACGGCAGATTACTTTCCCTAGGTCTTTTCAGTCCTAGGTGTCTAATCTGGAGCCTGACTTTTCGACAACTGTGGGGCACAAAAAAATGAAGGGCGGGAGCCTGAAGGCTCAAAGGCGATTCTCCCGGAGGAGAATTCAGAGAGGCGCTGTGTGGGACCTCTGACCGTCCCCGAGGAGGCGCGGTTTGTCCCTTGTGGGCTCAGGCATCATCGTGGTCGCCTCTCCCTCTCTCCCATCAGCCCCCGCGGCCGCAGCTCCAGCAGGGAAGGCGGCGCACGTGCGGGAGCGAGATGCCCAAGTCCAAGCGGGACAAGAAGGGTGAGCGGTGTTCCCTCTAGGCTGGGTTAGTGTGAGCTAGCTCCTAGTTCTTTAGCCTCCGGCTCACACTTGTTTGTCTTAGCTCAGGGAGGAGGGCTCCAAAGCAAACTGATTTATGCAGCCGCCAAATCGCTCGCTTACAACTGTTAATGCCAGGAGCTCACAAAGTAGAAATTTTTCTCACAGGACTCCACAGCTTAGAGGGAGCATTGGTTGAAACTTCTCTGAGTAGACCCCCCCCCCCAAAAAAAAAGAAACCCACAACACAGCTAACACAGCCCGCCCCTTTGAAAGGCAGCCGGGCCTGCACGGGTAAAGCCAGATAGACCAACTGGGCCGAGCCGTGGGCAGTGTTCCCTCTAAACTGAGTTAGTGTGAGCTAGCTCACAGTTCTTTAGCCTCTGGTTCAAACTTTTTTGTCTCCGCTCAGGAAGGCTGGCTCCAGAGCAAAGTCATCTATGCAGCTGCCAAATTGCTCACTCGCAATTTTAATGCCAGTTGCTCACACAAGACTCTACAGCTTAGAGGACGCATGGGTGGGGAGGCTGCCCCGTTCTTGCGTATGGCCGGAATGTGCCAAGTGGAGTCCAGGTTTTGACTGGCCGCTCTTTGGCTGCGCTCACACACACGAAATAATCGACCGTCAATCCAACTTTCCAACTGGATATTGCCAGTTTCACACAGTAAAATCCAGTTGGAAGCAATGTTCCCTCTAAGCTGTGGAGTCTTGTGAGCAGAAATGCTACTTTGTGAGCTACTGGCATTGAAGTTGTGAGCGAGTGATTCAGCCGCTGCATCAATGAGTTTGCTCTGGAGCCCCTGAGCTGAGACAAATGTGTGACCCAGAGGCTAAATTACTGTGGGCTAGTTCACACTAACCCAACTTAGAGTGAACGGAATACTGGTTGGAAAGTGCATTGACAGTGGATTGTTTAGTGTGTGTTGGAAAGTGCATTGACAGTGGATTGTTTAGTGTGTGTTGGAAAGTGCATTGACAGTGGATTGTTTAGTGTGTGTGACTGTAGCCTTTGCCTATTGCTGTGGAATTAGCATTTTGTAGCGGTTAATTAGTATTTAATTTGAATTTTTGGCAGAAAAGAGCGACAGTCCAGTAACATCCTAAAGACTGGCAAAATTTGTGGCAGGGTAGGTGCTTTTGGGAGTCACTGCTCCCGCTGTAATTCTGGGAGATCTCCAGAGTCTACCTGGAGGGTGGGTAGGGGCTGGGGGAGTAGCCTTGCTCCGTTGGTTATGCTGGGGGGCTGGAGTGTTTTATTCTGGTATCTTTTTTAAAAACTGCAGTCTGCTTGGAGCCCTCTTTAGGAGGCAGACGGGCTGAAACATCTTAAATGAACTGCCCTTCTGTATGCAGAGCAGTTGCTGAGTTATGGCCGTTCCCATTGCAGTGGCTCCATTCAGGCTGAGAGGGGCTTGCCTAAAGTCACCTAACTGAGGGAGAGTAGAACAGGCATCTTTCCGGTTTGTAGCTCAGTCCCCTAACCATTATGCAGTGCCCCAGGTCAATATGTATTGATTCTTCCCCACCTCTCTGCGCAGTTCCTGTCCTTGTTGCCTCTGAGCCTGTTAAAACTCGGCCTGTGCCTTATTCAGAGGGAAGTCTCGCTGTATTCATTGCGGCTTTTGTCCTTCACCAGCCCATTTGCTGAAAGGGAAAGGGCTCTTCACAGCCCGAGTTTTCTTATTGGGTGTGGGGGAAGGGGTCCTGTAAGGGATTGTTTTAAACCTTTGTTAGGTGTCCCAGCTGCCAATATTGTAAAAGGGCAACTGTTAAACCCTGTAAATAAATAAATAAATTATGCAAATAGAGTAACCGGACTGCAGCCAGTTGTGTGCAGATGTACCTGGGCTTTTTCTGAATCCCTTTGCTCTGTTTACTTTTCTTACTGAGATCCTGAACTGTGCAACAGCTGGAGCTGGCTTTTGATGAGGTGTAGAGATCTGGGATCTAAGAAGCTGTGGTGCACTCACCAAAGAGCTTTGGCAGGGAGGTGGGATAATATACGCCATCCATATCCTCAGTGCTGAATACAGAAATTAAGACAAGCGGGGCTAGAGAGGGATTATAGATCTCAAGAGGTGACCAGGGAGTGGTGGAGAGATGGAAAAAGGGATCAGGGAGCAGTAGAGAAACGAGCAAGACAGACAAATGCTTTTGTGCCGTTCCTTTTTTTTTTTTGGTTATGTGCAGCTATCTTGTCAAACTGAAGCTTTGCTTTTGTTTTCCCAGTTTCTTTGACCAAGACCCCCAAGAAAGGTTTAGAATTTAAGCAGAACTTGATAGGAGAGGTAAGTCACGTCATCATCGCAGCCGTGCATTTCCAAGCCAAAGCAAAATTGTCTGAAAGGGCAACAATACTGAAGGAATTCTTATTCTCTCCCATTCTTTGAGAGGTCAGAAGTTGTCACAGTTGGGCAGGAAGACTGCAAATAAATGTTTTGTTGCAAGGCTTCTCATGTGGGAAGAATTATCATTTGGGTGGCTCTCTGCTTGCATATCGGATGCTATCTAATATGAGGAGGTACAAAGCACACCAAAAAAATGCTGTCTAAATATAAACAAAAATGTATAAAAATAATATTTAATGCCAAGTACAATAATACAGTCAGATAACTATATAAAGCCAAGGTGTTCTTACACAAAACAAGTCTGATACATAAAAATGAAGTCCGAAAAATTTCAATGTGTTTCGCTCCTGTGTATTGTAATTCAACAGTCCAACTTGACATACATTCATCATAGAGTGGATTCATATAGTTCCTGGAAAATCCATATAATCTTGAAATCCATAATAATAATAATAAGAGATTGGATTTATACCCCGCCCTTCACGACCCAAAGGTGTCTCAGAGTGGCTTACAAACTCCTTTTCCCTTCCCCTCCCCATAACAAGACACCCTGTGAGGTAGGTGGGGCTGAGAGAGCTCTTGGCAGAAACTGCTCTTTTTCAAGAGCAGCTCATTATCAGAACTACAGCTTGCCCAAGACCATCCAGCCAGGTGCAAGTGGAGGAGTGGGGATCAAACCCGGTTCTCCCAGATTAGTCCATGCACTTAACCACGACACCAAACCAAGCCATGGAGACGCATAGTCCGGATGCAAGCTGCCACGTTTCGAATAATTCTTTTTGAAAACCGATAAGCTACAGTTGGTCTAAATACAAATTCAAGACAAGCACAAATGAGGATAAACAATCAGACAATATGTATAAATTGCATAGATATATTATGGCTTATGGATCTCAAGATTATATGGATTTCCCAGGAACTATATGAGTCCACTCTATCATGTATGTCAAAAGTTGGACTATGGAATTACAATACAACGGGAGAGACACATTGAAATTTTTGGGACTTTATTTTTCTGTATTATTGTTGTTTCTTGTAAGAACGCCTTGGCTTTATGTAGTTACATGACTGTATTATTGTACTTGGCATTAAATGTTATTTTTATACATTTTTGTTTATCTTTAGCCAGCGTTTTTTTTGTGCTTTCTACCTTTTCATGTACACTGGTTCCCCTTATTTTTTGGTTTCCATCTAATATGAGGAGCCTGACTTTGACTTGTTGTTCAGAGCCTACCAGAACTGTTCAATGGAGGGGAATTTCATCTTCTGCTGTAACATCCGAATTTCTTTGCCATCAGCTCCGGAAATCTGTGGACATCTACAAATATGTCTATATTTTCTCCATTGCCAATGTCAGAAACAACAGACTGAAAGATATCCGCAATGCCTGGAAGCACAGCAGGTGAGGCCTCTTCTCCAAATATCTCCTGATATTGAGCTTTTCAGCTGGAGGGTTTAAAAAGAATGGGGAGAAATGGGAGAGGGGAAGTGGATACAAATGCACCCCCACACCTGAAAGGCTAACATCCAGATACCACAACAAATTAAGCTGATAAGCTCGTTCATTAGCAAGTGCTTTAGAATTGCATTTTTTAATTTTAGAGTAAAAATTGAGCTGACTAATTTGGGAGAGTATTTTAACTCTCACAGCTGAGAATGGATGCATGATTCACTCCCTGGTCTTCCCTCACCGCTGCATTTGGTTGCGTCTTCCTTGCAGAATCTTCTTTGGGAAGAACAAAGTGATGATGGTAGCCCTGGGACGGAGCCCGGCTGACGAATACAAAGAGAACTTGCACCAGGTAAGCCCTAGTGGCGCAGCTCCAAGAGGGGGAAAGGCGTCACTGCTCTGGGACGGGAGCCCTAATTCTTCAAGCCTCTCTGTTTTCTAGGTCAGCAAACATCTGCGGGGAGAGGTTGGCCTTCTCTTCTCCAATCGCACCAAAGCTGAAGTCCTTGAGTAAGTGTCTGTAGCCCTCGTCTGGCCATTTAAAAAAGCCTGGCCTTCAAGCTCCAAGCTTCAGAGCACCATTTCTCTCACTAAGAGGCCATGGTTATTGTTAAGAGAACAAACATGTGAAAGTTGGGGGAGTATGCAAACACAGCCCCCTTCAGCACAGGGCTGTTGCTCACCTTGTGAATAAATGAAGTGACTGTTCCTTGGTCCCACATTCCCATGTCTCCTTCATGATCTTCCCGTTAATGGTAACGATCCAAGGTCTAGTTAACAGTTGTTGCCTGTCCTCAGGGTGTCCCAGTCACCCCCTGCTCAAGACGGCATTTGTCTCTCCTTTTCTCCCCAGCTGGTTTGCAGAGTTTAAAGAGGTGGACTTTGCCCGGTCAGGGAACAAGGCAACTTTCACCGTCGGCCTGGATCAGGGACCGCTGGAGCAGTTTCCCCACTCCATGGAGCCTCAGTTGCGGCAGCTGGGATTGCCCACCGCCCTGAAAAAAGGTTTGTGATGGGTCTTGAGAGATGCGAGCAGTGTCCAGAGCGGGACCACACTTCGACACAGAACATTCTCCTGCACTGATTATGTGTTCCTAAACAGGCCATGCATGGAGGGAGGGAAAGTCCCACCCTTCCTCAGGGCTTTGCTCATAACCTGTGGGGCTCTCGGTCTGAGCAAGAAGGCGTTCTCTAACCCCTCTGCAGCTAAAGTTACCAGTCCCTCCAACAGCGGGCAGGCAGGCAACTGGCTGTCCTTCGCAGCAGTATTCGTGCTCTTGGCCCTGGGTTTGAGGGCTCAAGAAGACCCCTGAGCTGCGGGGCCCCATGGTCTGCTCCGCCAGTCCTCCACAAGTCAGTTCCTCCATTCCCCAGCAGGGTTTCAAGTCCCCTGGATAACCTCGCCCTGGTGGAATATTACCCGGTGCCCTCGAAGGGCAGAGTGTGCCCAGCGTCCCTAAAGGTGAACTTGGCTAGGAGACCCAGGACCATCCATTTCAGCTCAGTTCTGTGCAAGAAACAACTGTGCCAATTCAAGCCTGTTCACATGAACACCTGAAGCCGCCTTCGACTGAACCATCAAAGTCAGTCTTGTCTACTCAGACAGGCAGCTGATCTCCAGGGTCTCGGGCGGAGAAGGTCTTTCCCATCACCTGCCTGGCCCTTTTTAATTGGAAATGCCGGGGATGGAACCGGGGACCTTCTGCACGCCAAGCAGAGGCTCTTCTACTGAGCCACGGCCCCTCCCCTTGGCCCCTCCTGGAGGTTAGCTGACAGACATCACGTCACGGTATTGCCCATAGTAAGCTATTGGGAGCGAGGGACAGTAATTCATTCTCGCCTCACATCAGCTTTCCTCTATTTTCTGTCAAAGCTGGGTCTTTCTGTGTTTTGCAGGCGTGGTGACACTGATTTCCGACTATGAGGTCTGCAAAGAGGGAGATGTCCTGACCCCCGAACAGGCACGCATCCTGGTAAGTAGCCAGTTAAAGGCCTCAAAAGGGAATCCTCTCACTTCTATGGCCTGTAGACTTTATTATAGAGCAGTGATGGCGAACCTTTTAGAGACCATGTGCCCAAACTGCGACCCATAACCCACTTATTTATCGCAAAGTGCCAACACGGCAATTTAACCTGAATACTGAGGTTTTACTTTAGAAAAAACAACTCATACATTAACTTAAGGTGATCCAAACAAAGTAAGGAAAGCAATCCCAAATGCTTTCATTTACTTAAAATTACTTGGCAGAGAATTCAACACTTTAATGATGGTCTGGGCCTGGCTGGGGCGATGGCACGCGTGCCCACAGAGAGGGCTCTGAGTGCCACCTCTGGCACCCGTGCCATAGGTTCGCCACCACTGTTATTGAGGGACAGGGTACAAGGCGGGGGTGTGCAAGGAAGGACTTGGTCTGACGCTTTCTTTGCAACATTCTAGGAGTCTCTGCGGGCTGATCCTTGCCTATGAATTAATAAGGGGGGTGGCGTTTAAAGTGAATGAAGTACAGCCCCAAATAGTCGCCCCTTGCCACTCCTGATTGAGATTCTTGTTCTAGACAGTGAAAATGGGGGGTGGGGGGGAAGAGAAAAGAACTGAGCACCTGTCCTACTGCAAACCTCCCAAAACTTGAGCCTCTTTTGTCTTCTCCTTTTTCACTGGGAGGTGGAACTTAGATCTACTTTCAGATCGTTCTACCGTTTAGTTCAGGGTTGGTTTTCTTCTTTAAGTTGCTGGTCCTCCTTGCTACCAAGGTGAGATGGCAGCAAAACGCCCAAAAGAATGATCAGTTTGCGCAAATCTGGACCCACCTGCCTACGCTAGGATCCAGAGCATCATTTTCACAGCAGAAAGAGTCCCGGGTGGCGGCCGCTGAGTGTGTGTGACGGGTCCTTTGCTTTCAGAAACTCTTCGGCTACAAAATGGCGGAGTTCAAGGTGACCATCAGGAGCGTATGGTGTGCCGAGACGGGAGACTTCGAACAGCTCACAGGAGACGTGGCAGAACAACCGGAAGAGGAGGAGGAGGAGGAGGAGGGTGATGTGGACTTGGCAGAAGAGAGCAACGGGGAGACGGAGGACTGACCAACCGCCGCAAAAGGGACCTTTGGGAGTTCTTTTTCCGCTGGGATACAGGACTGAGCTGATCCGCTAAAGACTTTATTTATCAGAAGACAGACGCTTTTTATAAAAGTGTGAAACCGGTTGGTAACGTCTTGGTCTGTCTGTCTCCTCACACAAGGGGATGCAAACAATGTTTCCTCTAATTTCCCCCCTTCTGAACAGAGCAGGTCAAACCCTGAGCAGAGACTATATTCTAACAGAACAGGGAGAAAGCAGTGTAGGATTCCTGGCTCCTCTGGAAAGGGCAATGCGCTTTTTGCAAAGACAGAGCACCTTCGTTTAGGAAACAATTTATTCAGAACTGGGTAAAAAAAGGTTCTTCAAAGCAGGGGGGAGGGTGACATAACAGTCCAGTCCTTGCCTTCAATCATAATGATTTGAACGTCCACGCTACTTTTATCCCTCTTCTGTAGAAAGGCAGAGAAAACCCATAAGAATCAAAATCCATTTATACTAAATTTCAGACGGGGGGGGGGGGGGGGGAAATGTTATTGATTGAAGGCAACAGTGGCCGGAGCCCAGGGGAGAGGAGGTGGGACTCCTGGGCAGCAAGAATACAGTGATGCGGAGACCCTTAGAACAAACAACCAGTCCGCTTGGAATTCCCACCCGCCTCATTTATTTGCCTGCGGAAGTAGTTGGGGCACTCGTGGGCATTGAGTTCCCAGGCTCTCTCGAAGGCTTCCACCACGCCCGCCTGGAGGGGACCCTCCTCGCTGCACTTCAGGTTCTCCTGCAGTTGCTCCAAGGTGGACATTCCGACGATCACCGCATCCCCGCGGTCCGCCTGCCGGGGGGGGGGGGGGGGGGGAGCGGCGCTTGGGCACTTAGGCCGCCCCCCCAAAGTCCCCGCGGACTGTGCGGCCGCCCCGGTTACCCAGCAAGCTCCACGGCAGACCAGGAATTTGAAGTGGGTGGCCACTGCTTGAGGCTCTAACTCAGGGGTGTCAAACACGGGGGCTGGAACTGGCCCGCCCAGGGCTCTTATGCGGCCCGCGAGCAACGAGTGCAAGGAAGGGAACGGGAGACTGCTGGAGGGAATAGGTGGAGCCACTCCGATTGTGGCTTCAGTGTGGCGGAACAACCTCGCCTGCAGCCATCAAGCAGCGTGGGAGCGTCTGCCCAGCACTGCACCGCTGGCTCTCCAGCCTGCCCCAGTGTGGGTTTTCCCTCCCAGCTCATGGGGCCTTGTAGAGATGATGCACTAACTCGGAGCTCACCAGCTGCTGTCCTTTATACAGTTTATACCTTCAGTACCTTGTTTCATGGCACACATGGCCCGGCCCGACAAAGTGACATTTATGTCAGATCCGGCCCTCGTAACGAATCAGTTTGACACCTCTGCTCTAACTCCTATACCATAAATCCCCACTTGCCCACTGCCCCCGAAATTGCAGTACTGGAAGGCATTGTTTCTGTACTTGAGAGATAGGATATTTCTTTGGGGCTTTTGGTGCCCAAAGCCCTTTTGTCACGGTAATCCGTTTTCTTCCCCCCCGGGTTTTTGCAGAATACAAACAGAACACCCCCTTGTAAAGGTAAAGGTTCCCTTGCTCGAAAGCCAGTCGAATCCGACTCTAGGGTTGCGGTGCTCATCTCCGTTTCCAAGCCGAAGAGCCAGCGCTGTCCAAAGACGTTCCCGTGGTCATGTGGCCGGCGTGACTACACACCAAGGCGCACAGAACGCTGTGACCTTCCCACCGGAGTGGTCCCTATTTATCTACTTGCAATTTCTTGCTTTCAAACTGCTAGGTTGGCAGGAGAAACACCCCCTTAGTTCTGAGCATATAAAAATGGGGAGGGGGGGCTCCACTCGGTCATTCAGAAGTGATTTTGAAGATGTCCCCTTTGCAAGTGGAAACAGGTCTCAAGTTCAGCCCCAAATCCAGCGGGGACGTGTGTGTCTGCGTCTGACCACAAACCTCCCTTACCTGGAGCTTTGAGTGATGATACATCCAGCGCAGAGCAGCTGAGGTCATACTTGGTGGGTTTGAGCCGTACACCTCGCGCAGTGCCTTTTCAACCAAGGCCACCCCTTGGAAATGATGCTCCTTCCAGTACCTGTGTCGGAGGGACGGGGTGTCGGAAGGAAAAATCATATTTCCAGATTCTTATCGTACGAAACGGCATTCTTCTTCAGCAGCTAAAATATGCAGATGTGTACACACTCGTAACAAAACTATCCCGGTTTGCGAATTCTACACTCTTCCACCAGGTCCAATATATTCTGGATGTCTTCCAAAGTCAACCTGTATAGACGAGGCTTTCTTTTTTTACGTGTGCTGCTTCTTGCATAACGGTCACACGATGGGGTCAGCGGAGGCCCGGGAGCCTTGACCACTTGGACAGGAGGCTCAGGCGATCCACCTATTTTCAGCTATCTTGAGGACTAGCGCCTTTCCAAAAATGAAGTTTCTTAAGATCCTAAACGCAACATTACAATGGGAACAGCTTCGTATTCCTTGTACTTTGCTTTATGAATACGACAGCTCAGCTTGCCAGTTTTAAGACCAGGAGAAGGGGGTAAGACTCATCCCCCCCCCCAAAATCCTTTCTGCTCACCAACAATTCTTGGGGACATTCCACAACCCCCTCCCCACTGTGTTTGCCGACACCCTCTCCATTGGCTCACGGCAGTGGAAATGCTAGCGGCTGCTACCAGCAGCGAACTCACCTGTCCCTGTAGATTTGAGCCCAGTCGTTGCCGAAAAACCTGCCCGTTGGCTGCTGACTCAGGTCTTTGTCTGCGTATTTGTATTTCCCAGTCAAAAGGCCTCCTGTAGGAATTCAGGAACAACTATTAGAGCAACCCAGAATACCCTCTGGACATGGGTGTGGGGGGGTGTTCTGCAGTGTCTCCATCTGCACACGTTGCTTTTACAGTTTGGAAGCTCTTCATGGCCCCTCCCCATTCTTTTTCAGATGTGGGCAGTGTTCCCTCTAAGCTGAGTTAGTGTGAGCCAGCTCACAGTTTCTTAGCCTCCGGCTCACACATTTTTGTCTTTGCTCAGGAAGGAGGGCTCCAGAGGAGGAGGAGGAGGAGATTGGATTTATACCCTGCCCTTCACTTGGAGTCTCAGAGCGGCTTACAAACTCCTTTCCCTTCCCCTCCCCCCCTGTGAGGTGGGTGGGGCTGAGAGAAACTCTGACACAAACTGCTCTTTTTCAAGGATGGCTGTGCCAGAGCTTGTGACTGACCAGGTGCAAGTGGAGGAGTGGGGAATCAAACCCGGTTCTCCCAGATTAGAGTCCGCACACTTAACCACTACACCAAACTGGCTCTTCCACTGCACCAAACTGGCAACTGGCAAACAGAGCAAACTAATTCATGCAGTAGCCAAGTCACTTGCTCCCAACTTTAATGCCAGTAGCTCACAAAGCAGAATTTTTGCTCACAAGACTCCACAGCTTAGAGGGAGCACTGGTTGTGGGGACGTTTTCTGCAGGCCTAGAGATGACCCCAGGTTTGTAGATAATAACCCTGCCCCCAGGTGCCTCCACTAGACATGTGGTGGTCCAAACGGTGGAGACAGCAGAAGATGACATCTGATTTCAAGCTACGAAGGACCCGTCCTCCTCTTCCCCGGATCAAGAGGTGGCCTCTATCCTGCCTCGCCTTTCATAAGGCTTTCTCGTCCTCTCACCCCCTGCTCAATTTCTCCCAGGTCTGCTTTGCAAAATGCAAAATGCTTTTTAGGATTTTAAGTCGCTACGCTTGGTGGCTTCAATGTGCTTCCTTTACAGGTTTTGCAGGCTTGCAATAACATTGTTTTAATCTTTTTTTATGGAGAAGCCATCCGTGGTGTCGTGGTTAAGAGTGTCAGGGCGGGATCTCAGAGACCCAGGTTCGATCCCCTAGGCTGCCGTGGAAGTCTGCTGGGTGACTTTGCACCTGTCCCACACTCTCAGCCTAACCTACCTCCCAGGGCAGTTGTGAGGATAAAGAGGAGAAGAGGACGGGATTGGATTTATACCCCGCCCTTCACTACCCGAAGGAGTCTCAGAGAAGTTTACGATCTCCTTTCCCTTTCTCTCCCCACAACAGACACTCTGTGGGGTAGGTGGGGCTGAGAGAGCTCTCTCAAGGACTGCTCTTGAGAGAACAGCCCTGAAAGAACTTATGACTGACCCAAGGTCACACCAACAGCCGCACATGGAGGAGTGGGGAATCAAACCCGGTTCTCCCAGATTAGAGTCCACGTTCCGAACCACTACACCAAACAGAAGAGAATTAGAACAAATTTAGAGTCCTGTGGCACCTTTAAGACCAACGAAGGCTTATTCAAGGTATGTACTTTCGTGTGCAAAAGCACGCTTTTTCAAATACAGTGGAAAGGGATGTAAGGTTCAAACTTACAGAATTATGTAAGCCGCTTTGGGTTCCATTTGGGTGGGAAGGGCAGGGTCTAAATGAAGTAAACAAATCCAGTAACTCCCAAGAGCACTAAGGGGGGGGGGGGGTGTGTCAATATTTTAAATCACTACATCTGAACAGAGGGATCACCTACAAATTATGGTGTCCATCAAATATCTGGCAGTGCGCTGCAGCTGCTTCCTTTGGAAGTTGGCATATCCCAAGTCAACTTTTCCCACATCTCTGGGGCTCCCCACCCATCCCCTAGAGCAACCGCTGTTTGCTTCTAAGAGCAGCACCTGGCCTCCCCCCCCCCCTTTCGGTTCATTACCTGCCAAAGGATTGTAGGCGTAGAAACGGATCCCAAAGTGCCGAAGGCACGGCAGAAGCTCTAGCTCCACTTGGCGGGTGGTGGCGTTGTACATGCCCTGTCAGAAAGAGGAACAAGGGGGAAGTGGCTTCAGGAAGCAGTGGAACGGGTGGCTGTTGCCAACTGACCAGAAACACACAATCTTGGTTCCCCTGGTGCCTTTAGAGGGCCTGCAAAAATCAGCTCTTTTGTGCAGGACTGCAGACTAATGATCATCTCCCCGCTTTCTCTTCCCACACATTCACAGCTATGGGGACCAGAAATGCAGTTTTTAAAAATGAGAACCTGAGATCCTCAATCACCAGGATTCTACAACCGCTACTGTATTATGCAAGATTTCTGGGCTCCACCCTGTCTGTCACACCGCCACCCTGACAGCAACTAGTCTGCGAGTCATATTGAGTGTGCCACAGATGTCTCCCACGTCTCTGGCCAAGAGCCCAGACAAGGGGACACAGACAACAGCATTAAAGTCGTAGACCTCAACAAGGCCAAGACTCTCACCTGATACACCGTCGGCAGGATCCAGTTGTGGGCTTTGCAGAGCGTACAGATCTCTGCCACTTCCCAAGCTGCGTAGTTGGAGAGGCCGAGTTCCTTAAACTTCCCCTGTTGAAAAGAGAACGCAAAACATCTCTACATTTTCAGCTCTGCTTTGGTGCCAATGTGACAGAGAAGCTGAGGAGAGCCCAGATGGAACAGGCCGGAAGTGCACCTAAATCCAGCATCGCTCAACGCCTCCAAGAAGTCCTTGAGCCAGGCATGAAAGCAGCTGCTCTCCCCAATATTTGGTACATGGGGAAAGAGGGCCTCTGAACATGGAGGCTCTGTATACCTACAATGCTTAACCGTAAGATCTAACTTAATAGAGCAGGCCACTGGCTCATCTTTGTTTAAAAACTAACATTTATTTCAATGTGAGTTTTTGTGAGAGAGTTCACTTCTTCAAACCTGTGCAAAGGAAATCATTTCGGGAGTACTACTTATAGTAAAAATTACCAGGGGGGGGGGGGAGGGATAGGAGAGAGAGATTTTGTGTGGATCCTGTATCCTGACCTGGACAGCCCAGGCGAGCCGGATCTCATCAGCTCTCGGAAGCTAAGCTGGGTGAGCCCTGGTTAGTCCTTGGAGGGGAGACCACCAAGGAAGCCCAGGGCTGCTATGCAGAGGCAGGCCATGGCAGACCACCTCTGAACCTCTCTCACTCTGACCTGGACGGCCCAGTCCAGCCCAATCTCATCAGATCTAGGAAGCTAAGAACAGTTGGCCCTGGTTAAGACTTGGAGGAGAGACCCCCCAAGAAAGTCTAGGGGCACTCTGCAGAGGACGGCAACGGCAAACCCCCTCCGAATGGCTCGTGCCTTGAAAAGCCGACAAGGTCGCCACCAAGGCACCCTCTGAGCTGTAGAGTCTTGTGAGCAAAAATCCTACTTTGTGAGCTCCTGGCATTAAAGTTGTGAGCGAGCGATTTGGCTGCTGCATAAATTAGTTTGCTCTGGAGCCCTCCTTCCTGAGCTGAGACAAAAATGTGTGTGAGCCGGAGGCTAAAAAATGGTGAGCCAGCTCACACTAACTCGGCTTAGAGGGAACACTGGTCAGGACCAATGCTCCCTCTGAGCTGTGGACTCTCGTGAGCAAAAATCCTACTTTGTGCGCTCCTGGCATTAAAGTTGTGAGCGAGCGATTTGGCTGCTGCATAAATTAGTTTGCTCTGGAGCCATCCTTCCTGAGCTAAGACAAAAATGTGTGTGAGCCGGAGGCTAAGGAACTGTGAGCCAGCTCACACTAACTCAACTTAGAGGGAACACTGGTCACAACAAGTACTTTTCACCACCAATTCTCTGCGTAAGGAACTGAATTTCCATTCTCCACATTTGGTGTCAGGAATTCCGCTGCAGTACACCTCTGGGTACCAAGGGATGGGCCATACAATGGGCGAGGGATGTTCTACACACATTCTAATTTATGCTGGCTGACTTGATAGACAGATTAAAATGTGTCAGATCTATGATTAATTTCTTTGACTAGCCAACCGCCTGCCCACAGAGCCCCCAAGGGCAGTGTCACCAGTTCATTTTCCCTACTGAAGCCCCGAATCTCAAGGCCCCTCATCCTCCCACACACACACTGGGGGGCTCGCCAGAGAGTCTGAGGGTCTGGCACCTCTTTGTGCAGCTTGTCGCAGGCCTGCAGGGTCTCTTCCAAGGGCGTTTCGTGGTCGGGGGCATGGAGGTAGAAGAGGTCCACGCTTTTCATCTGCAACCTCTGGAGGGAGGTCTCCAGCTGGGAGTGGATGCTGTCCGCCTTCAGGGTCTTGCCGTCCCACGGATTGGCCTTCGTGGCCACTTTGACTGGTAGGGGGGAGAGAGAGAGAGAGAGGAGCAGGGTGGAAAATGTGCCTTTCTTCTTGACTCACGGAATTCAAGGAGGGAGGGACGGGCAGGCGGGAGGGAGAGAAGAGGGCCTGGCTCGGACCACCGGTCCGTCTAAGAAGAAGAAAAAGAAGAGACTGGATTTCTACTCCGCTCTTCACTACCAGAAGGAGTCTCAGAGCGGCTGACAAACTCCTTTCCCTTCCCCTCCCCACAACAGACACCCGGTGAGCGATGCTCCCTCTCAGCTGTGGAGTCTTGTGAGCAAAAATTCCACTTTGCGAGCTGCTGGCCTTAAAGTTGTGAGCGAGCGATTCGGCTGCTGCATAAATGAGTCTGCTCTGGAGCCCTCCTTCCTGAGTGTAGACAAAAAGTGTGTGAGCCGGAGGCTAAAAAACTGTGAGCTAGCTCACACTCACTCAGCATAGAGGGAACCCTGCCTGTGAGGTAGGCGGGGCTGAGAGAGCTCTTTTGAGGACTGCTCTTGAGAGAACAGCTCTGAAAGAACTTGTTAACTAACCCAAGGTCACACCAGCAGCTGCATGTGGAGGAGTGGGGAATCAAACCCCGTTCTCCCAGATTAGAGTCCGCGCTCCTAACTACGACACCAAACTGGCTCTACAGGATGGCTCCCGGCCACTCCGAAGCCCAGCAAAAGGGGGAACAGGTGGTCTTTCCTTCTTGTCTGTCCCCAGCACTTTGCAACATGAAGGTTCCATCCACTGCTTACTGGTGATAGCGGTCTACCAGTGGGTCTGTCAGTGGGATCTGGGGAAAGCAGCAGGGGGGAGGTTGCTCCCTTCAAGCGCTGCTTGTGGGCCGTCCAGGGGTATCCAGCTGGCCACTTCAAGAATCCCCCTTTGCTCCGGGGAGTCTCTTCTGTTGTTCTCAGACCCATCTAGACCGATTCTGGATTTTGCCAGCTGGACGCCTTTGGTAAGCAGAGTGTGATGCGGATGGCCATGCCCTCCCCCAACACATATTCTGCCTCCAACATGGCAAATACTCCCTACCCAAGCCTCAGTTTAAGACAAGCTCTCTCATGGCCCCGGGGGCCTATTTTGTAACCTCTGGCTTTTTTTTGGGGGGGGGGGGTGCATAGGAAAGGAGAGAATATCTTTGAGCATGCGCAGAGCACATTTCCTTCCCAGCCACTCAGTAACCCACTGTTAGCCGACGGACATCTGAGATTAGACATGCCGGAAAGGTGTCTTTGCAGGAGGGCAAAGTCTAGTTGTGGGACTTTAAGTCCCCTAGTTGTTAAATAACTGGTTTATCAGCCATCCTAGATAAAATGGTCTAGGGGAAAGTTACTTCAAGGGCAAAGCTCCTGGAGAAAAGCTGTGGCAACAAAAAATAAGCCCGTGTTTTGCAGCCCCTGAAAGACGGGCCAGATGTTATTCCGGCAGACGTTTCCGGGGACTAGAGCCCACCTCATCAGGGGCAGGTTGGGGAGGCCCACTCAGAGAACGGGAGGGGAATTGTGGAACCTCATGTACGGTCCTCCCTTAATCTGGATTTGTGCACAAACTGAATTTAGTGGTGATCGCATTTAGGGTCAGCCAGACTGAGGAAGACTGAGCCTGGAGAGGGAAAGACACTCTGCCTGTGCTCAAGAGAACCCTTTTTATTGCTCAGTTTTGCAGGCTGCATTAGAAGTCTAGCATATTCAGCACCCCCCCCCCCATCATTTGCTCCACCACTTCCTAGAAACTGGAGGAATTTAATGTGGGACAGAACAGGTGAAGCCCATGTTCAGAAGCACTCTCGACTGCTCAGTTTGCCCACCTGGTCTGCCCACTTCGCCTGCTCCCCCACTGCCTTTTCTGGAATAGTTTAGACTAGCCTCAACAGCTTATGACACTGCACTCTGTACATGCGCATATGTGCTTTACTGTAGGCTGGACTACACGACCTCAGGATACATCCCCCCCATAAGAACATAAGAGAAGCCAATGTTGGATCAGGCCAATGGCCCATCCAGTCCAACACTCTGTATCACACAGTGGCCAGAAATACCAGGGGCCATCAGGAGGTCCACCAGTGGGACCAGGACATTAGAAGCCCTCCCCACACACACACTCTGCACCTGTTCAGAGGCCCTGTGCCCCCGGCGCTTGGCACCCAGCCCTACCTGCCCCTTCTCCGAATGCGGCTGGCAGGACTCGGAACACGCTTGAAATAGTGCCCTTTCCAACTGGATTTTACTGTACGAACTGGCAGAATCCATGTGGAAAGGGCACTGCGTGTGACCGCAGCCGAAGTCTCCGACGCTGCGCTCTGCACATGTTCATGGGTGCTTTGTGGCGGGTCAGACTAGATAACCTCCCGAGACTCCCCCCACCCCCCGCTTTGCGCCTGCCCAGAGAGGCCCGCCCCGCGCCCTCGGCACGCTGCCCTACCTGCTCCTGCCCCCGGGGGCTCCGCGGCCAGGAGGGCGCCCAGGATGCGCTCCGACTCGCCCCCCGCGTACATGTGGGCCGTGTCCAGCTCGCGGTGGCCGCGGCCCAGGAAGGCCTTGAGCATGGCCCCGCTGGCCTCCGCGCCCGCCCGCCGCCCGAACTCCATGGTGCCCAGCACGGAGCGCACGGCCCGGCCCTGCCCGCACTGCGCGGCCATCGCGGCGGCTCCAGGGGCTCCGAGTGCAGCCGGCGGGGCTCGAACGCTCGGCCAAGCGCGCAGCAAGGGCAGCCGCATCTCAGCGCATGCGCGGCCGCCTCCTTCGCGGGGCCGGCGCCAGGCAAGGGACCGTCGCGAAATTCCAGGTGCCAGAAGAGGTGGTGGTAGGCAGTGTTCCCTGTAAGCTGAGTTAGTGTGAGCTAGCTCACAGTTTTTGAGCCTCCGGCTCACACATTTTTGTCTGAGCTCAGGGAGGATGGGGCTCCAGAGCAGACTGATTTATGCAGCAGCCCAATCGCTGGCTCACAACTTTAATGCCAGCAGCTCACAAAGTAGAATTTTTGCTCGCAAGACTCCACAGCTTAGAGGGAGCATTGGTGGTAGGGACCGTGAGCGAGAGATTTTTTTACTCTCCTTAGAAAGTGGCTGCCTGGATCGAATGGAAGGGTCCTTCTGCCCGGCAGCCTGTTGCCAGCGTGGCCAGCCCGGTGCTCCTGAGACGCCCAGAAGGGCTGCGCGGACCCTGCCACTGGGCTGGCACTCAGGTAGACTGCTCCTGAGCATGGCAGTTCCGTTGAGTCTGGAAATACACCAGATCGGCCCTGCCGGATCAGAGCAAAGGCCCGCCTAGAACTCCGCACAGATGGAAGGAATCGGCATTCTATTTTGTCAATGTTTTTTGCTTAATGAGGCTGCTTTTTGTCAAGTGGCAAAACTGGGGGGGGGGGCTGAGGGTTATTTTCCATTAGAACATTAGAGAAGCCATGCTGGATCGGGCCCATCCAGTCCAACACCCGTGTCCCACAGTGGCCAAAACCCAGGTGCCCTCAGCAGGTCCACCAGCAGTGGGGCCAGAACTCCAGAAGCCCTCCCACTCTTGCCCCCCAAGCACCAAGAAGACAGAGCCTCACTGCCCCAGATCCTGGGCGCTGTGACATGATATGGGATTTAAGGATATGTTTGGGATGGCGGTGGCTCAAGTGGTTAAGACGCTGAACTGCAGGCTGTGGAAGGTCGGTAGTTCAGCAGTTCGAGACCCGAGTGTGCCGCATGACGGAGTGAGCTCCCGTCTCTAGTTCCAGCTCCTGCCTTCCTAGCAGTTCGAAAGCAAGACATTGCAAGTAGATAAATAGGTACCACTTCGGTGGGAAGGTCAGAGCGTTCCGTGCGCCTCGGTGTTTAGTCATGCCGGCCACATGACCACGGAAATGTCTTCGGACAGGGCTGGCTCTTCGGCTTGGAAACGGAAATGAGCACCGCAACCCTAGAGTCGGATTCGACTGGCTTTCAGGCAAGGGAACCTTTACCTTGGGATGCCCAAACACGAAAATCCCAGCGATCCATAAGGATCCGTGCTTTAGAATCATGTTTTTGCAGAATGGATCTGTGCTTTTTGTGGTGCAAGTTGTGGCCACGGATGTGCTATGTGATTTGATGGTGTGTTTGGGGTGACCTCTGGCTTGACGCCAGAGGTCACCCCAAACACACCATCAAATCACATAGCACATCCGTGGCCACAACTTGCACCACAA